CAGTCTCCTTGGAAAATCTCATCTCATTGGAAAACACAGCACTTAACTCTTTACCATATGCAAGTGTAGATGTTATCTGACACTTTAACTGGCAAGCTCAGTGGCAAAGCATTTGTTGGCCACATACCTGGGGCTCTGAGCTCAGGGAGCAGCGCTGCCAGCACCGGTGACCCACTCCTGTCCCAGGTCTCAGCCACCCACCTGCCTGCCACAATAGAGCACAGAAGTGCTTAAGAATGACTCCACAAGACATTTGCACGGACGTGGTGTATTTCAGACACAACTACAGCATAAACATTTCGAGATCGGGTTGTGGACTACAAAATCACAGTTCCTCGTTCCCGTGTACAGTTTCTATAAAGATGGCAGTGCAGTGCCCAAAGCTGCTCATACATCACTACTGTGAAACAGAAGCAAGAGGGTGCACTTTGTTTTATAAAAAAATCCAAATAAATTATACACTGAGAGCTACCGCCGAGCTTTACATATAAAAAGGTAAAAATACAGTAGTTAGTGTGGCTTTAACAAAAAAAATCTAGCTAAAAAAATACTCTTACATACTTCAAAAATAGGTTTCTCCAGTTATAGGAAGGGGTGTGTGTGTGTTCAGGAAGCAAAGTGCTCAAGCCCAACAATACAAAGGAGGTGCACTTAGCAGGAGAAGCCCCGTGGCTCCTTGCTGTGACACAGCACACCTAGCAATGCCCACTCCTCGTCCCAGCAGATGGGCACAGCCTGTTCCTTCTATAGTGCTGACACTTGGACCAAACACACGTGGATTACACCTGCATCTCTGGAAGGCCATTAGCATGGAGTTCTGTTTTTTTGGTATAAAAGCTACGATTGTCTAGCTGTAACATTAATGCATCTAATAGCTATGTAATTTTACTGCCGCTTTCTAACTAACAAACACTCTGTGCTTCACCTGTGGGAGAGTCAGGTTGTACCTGAACACATTCAAGATGTGGAAAATACATCCAGTGCTGTTTGTGGCAGATCTGAACAGTACGGCTTTGCTTTGAGAAACAAAAGTAAAAATTGGGTGCATGGGCTGAAAACAGCATGTGGGGAGACCCAAATGGAACCGAACCTTCCACCTGAGACCCTCATTTGGTGTAGCACATTTTCTTGCCATGTTGTGGCCAAAGGGCTGTCCAATACATACCTCTGGTACAGCTGGCTGTCTCTGACAAGCTATGCATGGAACTGCAGTTTAAACTGGAGTGCATTCCAACCTGAAAAATGATATATATATATGTATATATAATTTTTTAAAGGATCTGGCCTTTTCCAAATGACTGCAACGCAGCATGTAGCTGTTTCTTCCTTCCTTTCAGCTCTCAAAGCTTTGAAGTGGTCGGCAGATCTGCGAGCATCCCAACATCAGATTAACACTGAGGTTTCATTTATCAATCTCTTTGAACATATACAAATAAAATAAACCTTTTAGAGGGTGACTGAACCTTCCAGCCAATCAACCAATAAAACAGCCACGTTAGGAAAACTCCTCCTTCTCAGTAGCATACTGAGGCTCATTGATATTCTATAGCATTAATTGCAGGAACCACGTGTCTACTTACATTCGATGAAGTACACAAGCAATAAGTAATGCTATGTTACCTGATAGCCAGTCACAACACAACACGAGGCCTGTAGTTTTAAAGCAAACCAGTAATGCAAAGCTACAGGACGTTCAGACACTGGATTATGTCCCTGTTCAGATCATGTAACTGTGGTGTCTCAGTCCCTTCAGGCTCCCCATACAAACAAATGGAATAGCTAAATAAGCTACGATGAGTTAAATGGACTGTGTATTTCCTTCAGCTACCAGGACACTGCTGGGAAGAGCTATGTTTGCAGCCTCAATTCTACTGGAAATTGCACATCTCTAACTAGAAGCTGAAGATTTTGAATTTTTAAGTAAAATTTCAAGTATTTGGCTACTGGAAATGGAGAAAAAACCTTGCCTCTATGAAATTCTCCCATGGGGGAGTTTAAATGCAACATTCCCTCTATCACCACCTTCCCAGCCACACTGGCAGTGTAACAATAGGGACTTGGAACCATTTAGACTTTAGGAGGCCATATCCACCATGTGTTACTTACTTGTTTTTTGGTTTTGGGTTTGGTTGCTTTCTGTTGTTGTTTTTTTGTTTTTGTGGTTGTTGGTGGTTTTTTGTTGTTGTTGTTTTTTGTTGGTGGTTTTTTTTTGCTATATGTGATTGCCCAGAAGGAATCTAATGATGATATTTAGCACTCACTACTTTAAAACTGTAAACTTCTGTTATTTTACTTCTGGGAGAAATTCAAGCTAACAGTTCACAGAGCTCCTGAACCCAATGGGAAGAGTCAAATATCAAACATGCCTTAAAGAAAATGCTTCTGCATTCTGTCTATTTACAAAACCAACACATGTAGTTGGTGAATGCCAGCTCAGCTGCTGAGCAAACAGATCGATAGTGAGTGCCAAGTTTCCCCACACAGTCCTGGCTTTGTGCAGGAAGCAGACTGTCACAGCCATAGCTTCCCTTTTTTGCTGCAGGAACTTTTCTGGCAACTCTGTTACTCCACACTAAGACATTTGATAATTGAATCGGGTATCTTTCATGTTTTAATATGTAATAAAGCTCAGACTTAAAGTATAAAAGCCAATGCTCTGCTGGAAGCAACAATCGGAGGTGAATGCTGGCTAGCAGAAGTGCACCACATAGGGCTAAAGAGCAGCTCCCCTTTGGCTGGTAGCGCTGTGAGTGGGGCAGTGTGGCTGAAGCTCCTGTCATCCATTTCAACTGTAGGTTACATAGGCAAAGGCTGCAGATCACTCTCTGTAGCATATGTCAGTCATAATTGCTCCCAGTGGTCCCTATGTTTTTCTATTAAGGCCTCTGAGGTTTTGAGGACTGGCAGTGGGTTGTGTAAATGCCAAGTGGTTTTTTCCTTAAAACTCTCAGTCAGCATCTTATAAAAAGTAATGAGAACAGCCATAAGAACACCCAAAACATACCCTAATCTGAAAGCAGCAGCCTAACAGGACACCAGCTTACCTTGCACAACCCACAGTGGTTTGGTCCAACTCTCTGTCCACACGGAGTTATATTCATGCAGCAGGCATGCACAAAGAAAGTTGTGCATACAGGTTTCTAACTCACTTTCACATTTAAAATTGTTCCTAAGAATCCCATGTATATAAATAGTTATAAAGAGCAGCACTGTGCAGAAAACATCCTCCAAGCCCAGACATATGTACAAATCTCTTCCTGAGAAGGATCCCGATAGCTTCAACTGCGCTTCCCTGTTTGGAGATGTGGAATTCATCACTGGGCTTCTACACTTCTCCTTCCTCTGACTCTGCACTGGTATTTTCACAGGATATATTCCCAGGGTCCATGTTCTCACCTCTACACAGGGATCCTGATGCCCAGGACACTCTTCAAACTGTATGTGCTGTATCCTGTACTTTACCTGAGCACCAAAAGGTCTTTACCAGCACTGCGGAGCACATTCTTGCAAGTGCTCCTACCTTTTTCCTAGAAGCAGGTGAACTGCTTTTGGGAATGTTTCATCTCTTTTCCCCATTTTCACCTTACTCTGTATTTTGTTCCATGCACAATTGGAACAGGATTCAAGGCGGTGTTAAGAACTGACCTAGTTGTACCCTCATGCCTTATCCTGTGTGTTAAGTATTCTCCAAAGCACAAGACCTCAAATTAACACCTAGCAACAATGTGAATAGAAAAAATGAAAATCCTGTCTTTCCTAGCCTTGAACGATAAGAGAACTAACCAAAAAGCAGTTCCTGAAGTAAGCTGTACTCACAACTTCACTACTTCAATGCTGAAAACAAAAAAATACACCTATAGCCTAAGTACACATCTGTATTTGAGTCACAGAGGAAATGAAATAACCAGTGTCAAAATGTGGGACCTCTGCTGCAATCTGCTAATGCTATAAGAGTTTGGCAGGTTAACTTTCCTGGTTGCAATGAGCAGCTCAAATCCAGTCAAAGTAGTCCGTCACAATAGTTTGTCCTGTAAGAAGAGGTGCAAAGATTACCGAGGGCTTTAAGGCCAAAAGGAGCATGTGTGGCAGTAAAACAGGAAACTCAGTGACTAATCACACAGAAGAAAATGATCTTGGCCACATGAAACAGTCATTGCTACTGTGAGCCACCATACACAGAGTGGCCACAAGGTGGCCCTAGAAGTTCGCCTAATCTTCCCAATATTATTCTATAAAGGACAGGGATGTGGTGTTCAAATACTGCAGAGCTAACATCAGTGATCACTCGCCCGTGACATTTGAGAGGCATGAGACTAAACCAAGTGTGAGTGGAACACAACTAGATTTTGTTCCTCGTGTTCAGAATTAGCTCCAGTGTGATACTTCACTTCTCTCGAGGGAGAAGATCAAAATTCCACGTGGTTTTACATTTCGGCTCAGACTGTAACTCCAGTTAGATCGCAATAAATGTGAAAGTCTCTTCCTGGATTCTAGCAAACCAGCTGGCTGTTTCACTCCCATTCAGCAAGAGTTTCATCCCATGCAAGTCTTTCAGAAGGATTCCTTGTAGATGTCAGAAGATTTGAGTTGGAGTTTTTACTAGGTGAGAAGTACAATAGCTCCATCTTCTACAGTTCAGTGGTGAGTAAACATTTCGTCCTTACTGTAGCATCCTCAGCAACTGGGCTAAAAGGGGAAAAAAGTGGGGCCTCATGAATACACTTCTACAAACAGATCTGCCATGAAAGATTTATAAAGTGAAAGGTATTGACGGGAGCAAAACTAAATATTATTCCAAAGAGGAGCAGTAACTGCTGCCTCAATCTAACAAGCCCAAAGAACAAACCTTTCCAATGGACAACCTGCAGAAGGGCAAACAGAACTGACTTCCAGTAACACATCACTGCCATCCACTTTCTGCCCACCAATGCTTTCCCTTTCTTAAGAGGTTCAATAAAAGAATTGGTCATTGCAGCTAACTGTGCCTCACCAGTACAACAGAATGGAATAGCAAGAGAAAACATTCCTACAAACTCTAATCTCTGACTTCCTTACAGTTTGGAAGAAAAAAAGAATCACCAGGAAAAAAAAGAATCACAAGTACTGGGAAGAGATTTTTCAGAAAATGCATCCGTACTGTAATCTTAGTCCAGTACTAAAAAGATAGGGAGCCAGATAAGGGAACCAAAGCAAAACGATAATTCAAAAGAATGAATCTAGTTTACAGTAGTTAGAATGACAACAGCTTTACATTCAGTTTCAGTTGATTGTATTCTTTGTTTCTCTACCAACTTGAATTTAAAAGTTCTCTTACCCTTATCTAAAATACCCATACTAAACATCAGCAGCTCTACTGACTTACCAAATTTCAAGTGCTGTGAAGTGAGACACAACTACAGTTTATAAAACAAAGCAAAATTAGGCAGTGTATCTAAATGACCACTGTAACTACTGAAGTGGAAGGAGGAAGAGTGCACACTTCCTCTCCATCCTATACACATACTTTTGGAATGTGTGCTTAGAGTTTACCTTGCAAGGACTTCAGCTGTCTGATGGCATGGTGGCAATCCAGCTGATGACAACAGAGCCTCTGTGCTGCCTTTCACTGCTTTCAGAGATAAGGCAACATCATTTCCCAAAGGCCCATTGGACATCAGTCCAGTCTGAATTGGGAAGAAAGAAAAAGGAAACTGAAATAGAAACCTGCTAGCACAAGACACACGAATTATTCAATGCGGTTATTTACAATTAAGATTAAGATCCATCAAGTTTGAACTAAATGCAAGTTCTTAAACTTCATGGCATTTACCGACAAACACAACAAAAATGGAGCTTTAAATATATACTTTAATATTAATATAAATTTATAGTTGAACTCAGCTTGAATTGGTTTGCTTTAGTTTTGGTCTGATGCACTGTTGTATGGGCTTTCAAACTAATACAAACTTATATTTTTCTCATGTTTTTGTTTGTGAATCATGACCAAAGCTCTCTTCTCCCTCCCTTCCCCCCCTTTCTTTTCCCCTGAAGTTGCCTTTCACACGCTCCATCTCAAACTGCTAAGTAATGGTTCAGTAACTCACTGGCACTAACCACCTCGGTGTTATTGTGGGCTGGGAAGACACCTACAAAAAGCAAAGAAAAGCTCATTAGAAACAGCTGGAAGAAATGAACAGATATGACATAATACTGCCCACCTAAAACAATACCAGGTATTTGTCAGTCGCTACCCAGAATCTGCCTCACAGTATAAGAAGCCTTTGAACCATGTTAGTGAACAGCTACAGGTGAAATGACTTCACACAAGCAGGTAACTCACAGTCACAAAGCTAATACATGCTCACTCACAGAAACTCACTGGCAACAGTTTCAGCATAGCTTTCCCTTTCAAAAGGCACCCAAACCCACTGCTATTTTCTGCTTTGCAGATGAAGTTAACTGAGAGCACTCTTCTGTGAGTAGTTTAGAGGTGCCCCAGATGTATCACCAGTTCACTCTACTGCAGCAGATCCGAGCATGGTGGATGGATGCCAAAACCAGAACAGAGTTTGTGAGTAAAAACCATTGTACTTGGGAAGGAAGAAGTTTGGTTTTGAAATACATTTACCCGAGGTGTTGCTTCTGTAAAGTCAATTAGATTCTCTGTCAATGATGATAGGAAAACGTCCTGGCCATCTGGAGCACTCTATGGAATAAATCAGTTTTGAATTGAATTCCAACAGTAAATAGATTTGCTGAACACTACAGTGGCTTCCCACGTTACAGACCAGTGTCCACAACGAACACCGCCATTCATTAGGACCGTTTCCTCAAATCTTTTTGTATCATCTTTTTCAACAGCCTTTTCATTTCTCTGTTTCCCAGTAGCAAACTGGAAAGAACATCATTGCCACATAAGTTGCAGAACTGCCCTGTTCTCCAGTGCAAAGCTGAGATATTGCACCATTTGACAAGAAGGTCAGCAAGGTCTAGAAGCTGAGCATCTGAACTGAAAAGATGAAGGTGATAATTATTCAGTGGAATGAACTATATAATACTGGTTTAGAGGGATGACAGATAAAGGGCGTGTTGTTTTAGTCATCTAGCTTAACCCCTCAGCCTGCTGAAACAACAGCCAAGTACAATGTTGGATTCATGTTTTGTTTTGGAGAGGGACAAAGGAAAACTGACCCCTGAGTGCATCACAAAGACTGCTTTGTGCATTTCATGAGTCCAATAAAAAAAACTACCTTAACCTTAAGGCAACCAAAATACAACAATTAGACATTACAATTCAAACTTTTTCCTCTGTCATTATTTTGATGGAAACTACATGTGTCAAAATTTCATCCTCGTATCATCTTCCCCAGAGCACCAAATTCAACGTGTGAAAAATGACCAACCAGTTTAGAAAAATGAGCATCAGGCACAGAACCTGACAGAAGAGTCAGAAATGTACTTCAAGAGTGATGCATACATCAGGCCTCTGCTTCAGAAAGCAGTCTCTGGCATTCAGCAGTGACTGGCATTCACTTTGTTATGGCAGGCATGCAGTAAGGTCTGCTGTGGTTGCCTGAAGGCATCAGTAGCTAACAGCGTGACACAGAAACCTTTCAGGCTGACAGGTGGTGGTGATACCTTTGAAACAGCAGCCTCCTCAGCTGGTGGCAGATTAGCTGGAATCAGCAACTCTTCATGGTTAGAGGCAGCATTATCCTCATTTAATGCATTACTGGAAGGAGAAAACATTCTCATCAGTGGATGTAGCCAGTGTTCAAAAAGACCCAACAGTATCAGCAGCATTTTCAGCACTTATTTCTAACTCACATACACAGAACTGGAGTCTTCCCTGCAAGCCTCTTATCTCCCCAGGTAGGGCCTGGGGCAGCAGGATGTCAAATATTTCAGTCAGTTCAAAAGATGAGAGAGATCTCTTACTACTTGATAAGACACTGACCCTGAGGCACGGCCTACACTGACTAACTGGTGCAATGCTAATTAAAGAAGCATCTGTAAACCTGTTTAGTTAGACACAGCCTAACTGCTCAGCAACTGCTCCTCATCTTTTCAAGTTGGTTTCATGTAATCTTAGTGTGGCTCTCTTATCCTAGAAACACTTTTCCACTGAATCACTTACGGAATGAATGTGTTTGAGGCAGAGGTTGTTTTCAGGTTGTTTTGAAATACTGGACTGCTTGCTGGGGGACTACTCTGGGTTTTTCCTGATGGGAGAATGTTCCTGTACAGTGACAACAAAATAAAAACAAACACTGAAAGCTCTTCACAGACTACCTGTTATAGCATGTTTTTCAAATTGCTGGCTACTCTTTTTGTTCCATATATTATTACCACATGCCCTTTGAAATTTGACACATGTTCATCTCCTTCAAAAAATTACACAGCTAAAACATGTAACTGTACCTTTCCCAGTGCCTGGAACTCAGCTAGAACTAAAGCTCATGTAAGATTCAGTAATTCTAGAAAATCAGCTGCCAGTATGGGAGAATACAGTAAGAGTACCTGAATTACTTTAATGTATCAAAACTTTGTAAACACAGTTTTTAGTGTTTTTCATTCTCAAAACACACCATGCTTATCATGTTAAACAACACTACTACAAGGTAAAATGCAACAATCACCGACACTGAGCACTGAGACTCCAGAAATACAGGTTCTCAGTGCTGTACTTGGGAAAATATTGTGCTTTTCTTCCAAATCAAGACAGTACCTGGCAGCAGCATCCTGAATGCTGGAATTCTTGCTACCTGTCAGGCTGTCTTCTCTTACAACCTATGATAAAAGAAATAAACCAAAACAGAACAAGCATATCTGATTCCTGTTTCCATTTTGTATCAGTTCAGGGATTCACAGAAAAGCTGAGCACCTCCCTCCCAGCATGAAACTGTGCTGCTCATTTACTGCTCAAGGCCTTCAACCACCAAACTCCGTGTGAAAATTTCAGTGCAGATAACTTGCTAATGTAGTCAAATAAAATACCATTATTTGCTACAGAATGTAGTGGAATGTGCCAGAAGCATGGCCTTAGTGATAGAACTATGGAACAAATATTTGGTTAGAAGGGATCCTTTTGGGGTTATCTGATTGAATTGCCACTCAAATCATGGCCAAGCGCAAAGCTCATTAGATTGTGCAGGGCTTTCTCCAGCACCAAAAGGGATGACAATTCCTCCCTGGGCAAACTGCACCCTGTGACAGTGAAAGGCTGGCAGGCTTCCTTATTCTGCCACTCTTTGGATCTCAGCTCCTGAAGCACCCCTATTTGCAAAGCCCCTTCTCCAACACTGCACAAAACAGGGAAAACGGACACCTCCTGAATGTGGAGCCTCCTCACAACCAGTTCTAAAAAGCCATCTGAGAACACTGTAGCCCTCATCAGCTGAGTATTTACCTTGTGCCCTGCTTCCACCTGGGCCTTCAGGATATTGCTTTTCATGTCTGCTGGAAGCCATGTTGCTGCTGCTATCGGGCTCTCAATTGCATTGTTAAGACATTTATCTGTGAGCTTCACCACTTCATCCTAGACAAGAAAAATATTCATCAGAAGCAGTTCCCACACAAAAACTCCAGGCTGAAATTAGTTAACATCTCCGAAGAACAACAAAGCTCTGAGTGAGAAGAAAAGCAGTGGTTATACCAAAAAGAGAAAGCAATCTCTTTGCTTTGGAACTCAGTTCTAAAATCACAGCAGCAGAAGTCAAAAACTAAAAATAAAAAAAAAAAAAGGAATAAATAGAATAAATACAGAAAAAAGCACAAAGCTTAAAAGTAGAGAAGCAAACAGCTGTGCTGAAAGTAGTGTGAAAGAACTGAACAGCAGTGGATTCTGCGTATGTAGTTGAGCTTACTGATATGAGATTAATACAGCAACTATCATATAAACTGATACAGCACAACAATAAGTCAATAACTCACTCTCAAAAATGACACGGGAAGATTTTTGCCCTAAAACTGCTCATAAATTATGAAGTTTAATGTGTTAGCTCCCACTCCCATCACTAATTATATCAGAAGAAACTGGCAGCCAGACGTTTGATGAGGACAATTAAAAATACCTTTTCAACACAGTATATTTCGTTCTGTGAATTGCATTTCTTAATTACAAAATGTTAATTCATTAAATATTCCACCTACTAATTGCTATTTGATTAGTGACAGAAGCTAATTAACTGAGTGGAAACTAAACCTGGTGACCTCTCTTCTCAGGGTAGGACTCAGCAGGGGGAGACAGAGCCCAGTCTTCCCCCATATGCCACGCAGTGCCATGCTCCTGCAATGCTCAGTGGAGCAGCAACAACCCTGCTGTACCCCGACTTGCATGAACTGCATTAAAAACCACTTCTGCTAGCAAATATTAAACTCTGCACATTCACCTAATTCACAGAGATCATCAGTTTATTGAATGCAAGTCTTTTTATTTTATTTTATAGAAGCTACTGGCACAAACCTGGAACAATTAAAATGGAATTATTTTCTGTACAATTGAGGAACCAAGCTGCGAGAAACCTTAAATCCTTACACTGCACCTCCCTGAACTGGATGCTGTACACAAGAGCCTCAGAGCAGAACTCTTAATGCATTCCTCCAGTAGCAGCAAAACAGTGGACTTGATTATTTTAACTGAGAACATCAGCAGAGCAATGCTTTAAACACCATTTAGTCACTAAATATTAGTGGTTTAACTTCCTCTCCCTCTCCTCCACCTGCACAAATAGCTCGAGTTCACAGTAACCTGCTAGCAATTAAATTCCCAACTTTGAAAAGTTGAGTATTATTCAGAAATACTTTAATGTCATCAAATGTAAGTTCTATAACACCAAGAAAAAGTTTCCATCAGCACTGAAGATTCTGAGATTTTTCTTAACCATTTCTGTTTTGCAGTTTTCTACAGAAAGCACTTGCAGCTAAAGGGGAAAGCACTTGGCAAGTGGTAGGAGGGCCTCAAGACGTACACCTTACCAAACATTTAGTTGTCCATATAAAACATTAAGGCTAGAGTTTGTCAATACTGTCGCTTACCACAACTGTGTATTGTTTCCATACACTGGGTGAACCATGTGTGTACTTCATCCTTCAGCCAAATTACAGAGAGCTAAGCAGCAATGTAAAAAGGGAAGACAAAAAGCAGCTAGGGAAAGTTAGGAAGCTGCATCCTTGGTTGTTTTTCAGTAGTTATGCTTAGGTCACTCTTTTCAGGACACATTTCCAAACTATTCATCCTTCATCTCCAAGCACAGCTGGAGGCGCTCATTCGGTGCCACTGTCACCTCCTTGCCTTTGCAGCCTGAAGCATACAGTCTTTAATCTGTCCACCTCGTTAAACAAACATTCTCAAGTCACCCCCTGGCAAGGTGGTGCCTTAGTCTCCTGCATCACAGACTAAAAAGCTCTATTTCATCTTTTCCACCTGAGGAAAACCACTTAGGGTACACTCTTAAGTTTTCACAGTACAATTCTCACATACTTCCAGAAAGCTCCTAAGGCTTTGTTTCACAAAGAAAGACTCCAACTGCACACTGTTGATCCAGAACACCTATTTCTCAGCTAAGCCAATGTTTCTGCATTCTCATCAGGGCCATATATCCCCCCCCCACATCTGTAACTGTGATAACCCAACCCCTCAGCATCTCACACAGCTAGATAGCTGTGACTGTCCTATATTGGCATCTGTAAGATCAGCTTGACACAGGAACCTTATCTTCCTTATTATATTTCAGTAATGATTTAAGAAGCACTAATTTTGCTCTGTTCTCTCCATTTAACCAACTAGATGTTTTTTTCTCTCTGTTTGAACTAATACAGAGCTCAACAGGCAAAAGTATTCTGCATTAAGCTGTGTTCTTTTCTTTAGTTTATGCAGAGGCAGCGTTTTGGCATAACAAGACCTATAGGCTACAGGCTAATCTTCTTAAAGACTCGGTAATCTTTGTAATGCAGTCACCCAGCAGAAAGGTACACAAAGCATCCCTACAACAGCCCTTAAAGGGGACAGAGCACAGCAGCCTGCAGCATCGAGCACACAGAGCAGCAGCACACACACACACAGCAGGCCCTCCACAAGAAAATCTGACCAACTTCACTAAAAGGCACAAAGACTCTTGAGCCTCCCCACAACACAGGGCAGTGCCAACAGGTCGAATGCTGCAGATTATTTTAGTCTGTACAAAATGCAATAAAGCACTTAAAGCCTTAACATAGGTTGCTTTTTTTTCCCCCTTTAAACATATGCTTTGTTCACTGTCAAATCCGAAGGGAAAACTAAATAAAATCTAAATTCAAAAATGTTCAGTCCAGAATCTGTTCATTTTAAGCACCTCTGCACTCTATATTCTGAAGTGTAGCTGCATGCCTGGGCAAGATGGCAAAGAACATCCTGCATGAGTGCAGCTGTCCAATAACCAGTGAACTCCTGGTGCAAAGCTCTCTGCTATCATAAGGAAGGATCCTGTCCTCTCCATCCCTTCTAATAACACTACTTATTTTCACTATGGCTCTTTGATCCCCCTCATGAGCCTAATTACTTCACACACCAACACAAAACTACTAGTAAAAAAGTTAAAAACAGAAAAAGTTTTGACTTTTGTCGCTTTGTAGAATGCATCGGTTCACTACAACATCCAACAGCTACGGGAGGTGACAAAGGAATGAGGGATATCAGTGAAGGACAAGCAATGAGGAGCATGGGAGAAGAGAGCCTTCTCCCTGGTCAGGGAACTGAAGCTGTTATTTTGGCTCAGCTGCCTCCAGAAATGCGGCCTGACTTGCTCCAAAGGAGCAAAGTACTAAATAAATCAAACTCCACCGCTCCCCTCTGTGTAAACACACATGGAAACCTCTGCTCCCACCAAGCCCAGAGAGCTGGTGAGAACCAGTTACTGACAGGAGGAACTGACCACCAGAACACTTCTTGGAGCAGAATGTCCAAACAAACTTCTGGGAGGGTTATGGAATGCAACTGGAAAATGCTAAGGGAAAAGCTCACCTCCTCAGAACAAGAGAGTGGATGATACAGTGCTGTACAGCTGGCAACCTACAGATAAAGGCAACAGAGGAACGTTGCAAGTGTTTAAACTTTTTGCTCCCGCACATATTAGAAGATTTCAGCAGGCTGCAGTGTGCATATCTGCAGGTTCACCTCTGCCCCATCATATGTATCTCACTTCCTATCATGCACAGGTTTATACATAAAACATTTCTATCTGCTTTCCTATTCCCACATATTACTCATGCCTATTCTTAAAAACCTTATAAGACTATGCTGCACAGCATTATCTGAACAGAACGGAGCAACTCTGCCACGAGGCACAATGCCCACCTACCTGCACGTTTATGTTTATGTTGGGACACTCAGTGAGCACAGGGCTGCTGCATTCTGCCTCCAGCTGCTTCAGTTTTAGGAATGCATCTTCAAATGCTGAAAAAGACAGAGAAGTTGACAGCTTTACTAATGTCACTGTGGAGCTAACTTGCACTAATTGTAAGGTCGAGTGTTTGTTACAGGACTTTAGCTCAACTCCTAAATGCACTGCTCCATATTGTAGGAGGGCTGCATTCCACTGGCAGGCAAAACCATCCTTATGCCTGTGATCTAGGAGAGCTTTCTAGGACAGTTCTGGATTCTTGTAAGGAAGCAGCCTCTTGAGTATTTCACCAGTTAACTCTGACCCTGCACAACACAATAATAGGAAGAAATCTCTAAGTTTACTTACGGTCAGAGTCTGCTTTCTCAACTGCAGCTTCCTTAGTGCCAGGATGAGGGCAACCAACAGCCTCTCCCGAATCTCCTGTTACCAGGGCAACGATGGGACGGCCTACAGCATCATCCACACAGGTCTCTGGCAAATCCACACTGTCGAGAAGATCAACAAGGGGTATGCTGCGAAGGCACAAAGGTGGGCAGAGAGAGGCACAATTCCATTACCAATCTTTCTACACAAAAAAACCCCCCTTTAACACGCAGTCTTTTTTTCTTCTAGCTCCTTTTGGGGAACCAGACACATTCCGGAAAAAGTATCTGAAGTAAACATTAGCAGCTCTGCAGGGATTTTAAACAAAGAAGCTGCAGTGAAAACCTCTCCACGATGTATAAACACAGCAATTAATTTTGAGAAAGCAAATCGCCCAGCATATTGAGCTAAGCCCTACCCAAAGCACATACTCACTCCTTCTGGAGGCAAAGATGCACCACGACATACCACGTTAGCTCTCCTGCAAATGACTCCAGTTGTTTTAAGAAACAGGAAAGTTCTTACCCAATAAATGCATTCATTTGAAATAAGTGTTTGGAGATTTTCTAGCAGACTCAAACCACATTTTAGCATTTTTACATGAGAAAAACAAAAGTGCAGGGGAAGACAGCTGATATTCTTCACAAAATGCTATTTCTTGGTGCAGTCGTAGAAAGGAGAGGGCAGGAGGGTCCACTGCACAGGCCTGCTGCACCAATGCAGTGCTATAGTCAGACACATCTACAGCTGGTTTAAGTTTTACTAACTTGGGCAGAGAAATGAATGAAACCTCAGCAGTCACCATATGTAAGGGAACCACAGCACCTACTCTGTATCCCTTCTGATTGCCTGCTTTCATCTTTTCTGCTTTCTGAAGGAAATGGCTCCTTTTCATTTTGTCCTACCATCTGTATTTACAATGCAAATAGCAAGGTCCAAAACAAACAAAAAAACCCCACCAAGAACAGAAACAGAAACCGTATTATGATGCTTATGCTGTGCCAACAGCCAGGAATCTCATTCATCTCTTGGAAGTTGAGGAAATCTATTTTAACAGAAAACTGACACATACAGACACAGCAGCTGCTGTGTAATGTAATGGTTAACCAGACAACCTTTGGATACAACTGCAGTTTGATTGTCACTCCTTTCAGTCAACAATCACATTTACATACAGCATGCCTGTAATACTGATATAAGAAAATCTATCATTTTTGATGGACCAGTCTGAAAGAGGAAAACAATGAAACCAAGCAAGTACCCACCACAGAACTTACCATGAGCAGGGACAGACTCCTACAGGACTGTTCAGATCAGCTTCTCACTAATAGGTTTATGCCCCTTTCCCTCCAGCCCCTGGAATTTGGAAGCAGTCCAGTGCTGCCACCAGAGGCTTCAGGAAAACAAACTCTCTTCAGCTGAAGCACCCAAAAGAATCCTTCCAATGTTAAACACACACCTCTGGAACAGACTGTAGGATACCACCATTTCGGTGCTCAAAATGTCTGAATCACCTTAAGCCAATTAATTGCTCCAAGGCAAACTGAGGTCACTTGCTTGATTCTCTAAGCACTGGAAGGAAAAGCTGCTAGCAAAGCACAGAGTAGGAAAATAATCATTTCAAGAGGAAAATGTATAGCCTCTGTGTGCATCACTGATGGGAAGAAGCTCAAGGCTGTTTACCAAGAGTAGAATGACAGATAGAAAGAACTTATTAGAACTGAGCTAAAAGGTAGGAAGAGATGTTCTTCCAATTAAGGCAACAAAGGAAGCAAGACCAAATCCTGGACCTCATTATCAGAGAGGATAACTACACATGGAAGTGAGAATGTTTTCTAACGCTTTTCTTCCCATTTTCTGACAGATTTTTATAAGTATGTTTAACATGTTTAATAGGACATCCAGCATGGGATTTTGTCAGCAGCATATTCAGAGGTGCTGAGGACATGACGTTGAAAGAACAATGTGTACATAAGCTCCTACGAACTCCATGCAAGGGAAGTGGTGCAGAGCACCAGTAATGCTGTCATCTTGTAATGCTTGTCTGAGTACTGCAGCACGACAGGGAGAAAGCAGATACAAGAGGAAAGTCAAAATGATGAGATCCCCAAAGAACACTGCAGTGGTTGAGGCCCCCAACATCATGATGCTTGATGTCTGCAGTGTGTATGTTGCCAGCGTATATGAAGCAAAGCTGACAAATAATACCAGCAGTTCAAATCATATGAAGAATTACAACACAGAAATTTTCTTTCCCTACGCAAATATGCACAATATTCAGGAAAAGCACAGAAACCTTATGGATATTAAACAAAGCTCTGCCACCACCATACTGCTTAGAAAGACACCCATGCCACTCCTGAAGCACAGGACCTGCTCCATTAAAAATGCAGCTAAGTACTGCAGGTGTCAGCATGTGCTCATTGGGTACCATTTCTCAGTTTGCTGCTGGGAGTTGTCATCTTGGTGGAAACCAGGTTAATGCTTCTGAAGCCTATGATGCTGCACTACAATAAGCTATGCAACTACATAAATAATGTAGAAAAAAACAATTAGTTGGCTTTGCTTCATAAATAAACAAATCCACATCATACATCTAAAACCAAAATTCGGACAGAGGGCTGCTCTCATCACCACTGTAGGTCCCACACATCTTTTGTGTGAAGGCTGCATTTCCACAGCAGGGTTGGAAGTAGAGCCTTCTATTTCATTAGCAGTCTCCTTAGGTGCAAGGGGGAGGAGACCAAAATACCTCAGGCAACATGCAGCTCTGTGCTAGCTCAGACTTATGGGTTTAGTTCTTCAGGGTTGGATACAGGAAAACAGTGTTTTTGTATTTCTGGACTCTGTCAACAGCTGGCAATTTTAAAATTATTCAAACACCTTCTTCATCCTAAAAGACAAATAGAAGTGAATTTGACAAGCCCTTCATCATCATTTTCCTCCTTCTTTTTTTCAGTAAGAAAAACATGACTGCAATTTAAGAGCAACTTATTTCAGAAAACAGATGAGAACACAGAGAGTTCAAGGGTAAAGAAGCCTGTGTTGTTGAAGAGCCACAAGAACAGGGAGGAGCCACCACGGTGGAGTCTTTGACTTCCCAACAAAGCCAATGAACCACCCAGCAGGACTGGTGTGTGTGGCAGGAAACAGTTCTGTTTTGTTTCAGCACAGCACAGCAGCAAGAATGACAGAACGCTTCCTGGAAAGCAATTAAGACATTCCCTAGAGGGGAACCCCTCCCCAGAAATATTACTCTTTGCCTTTTCAGGAGTTCTGCTAATTTTATTCTTAAAAAATTAAAATAATTAAATCTATACCATTTTCAAACAATGTGTTTCAGAAGTGGACTTCTTTAAAAAAAAAAAAAAGTTTTCAGATCAGCTACCTATCTTACATATGCTTAAATAATCACGGTACAAACGAAGGGGCAGTTGCATCAATTTCTTCAAGATGTTTGAAACCACATTAAAAGCCACCGGTCGCATGTGCAGCTGTTACTAACGTGTGCAGCTCGCAGAGTTAAAAACAGCTAAAATTCTTGCTATCATTAAGAAAAAATCTTAGCACAATTAAGGAGATACATATTGTAAGATGTAAGAGCGATGGGCGACCTTCAGCCTACGTGTTATTTTTCTGTAAAGAGTAAACACCAACAGCACAATATGCAGAGCCTTCATAAGAAATGCTTTTTTCCTTTCCTAATCATCTTTGGGACCGGTGGCCTTGTATCACAGACAGTTCTGAATGCAACTTTCCAGCCTCTGCTACCAAGCAGCCTCAAGCTCCCAAAGGGCCGGCATCTCACAGACTGGTCATGGTGGCTTGGACAGCATAGGTGACAGCACCGCTATGCATTCCTGCATTCTTCACATTGTGCTCATGAACAAAAGCAGAGTACTGTCCATCTGCAGGGTGGGTCCTCGGCGGGGCCCGCGCGTCCCACAGGCTTCCACCACGATGGCAGCGGTCGGCAGCGTCAAAGGGCCTGGATCATTGGGGAGCGGGAGGGGCACAATTAGTCACTGGCTATGGAGGGGGGGACAGAGCACAGCAGGAGTAAAGCAAAGGAGATTGACAGAAAAAGCCAAGGAAAAATGGTATTGCTGGAAGGTAAATATTGAAAGACAAAGGCATGCAAGAATATGTGCATATTAAGGCGGAGTCAAATAAAGCCTTTTACTGCTCAGCATCATGCATGTTTTTGCAGAAGCCTGACACGAGAAGTTGAGCTACCTCCTGTAGGTACTGTCTACACTTATCAGAAGGAAAAGCACTTCATATTTCAAAGCACTTCACAAAGCTGAGCGAGAACCAAGCACTGCAAATGCGACAGAGGCCTCCCAGAGCTGAAAGGGTTCAGGTGGCAGCTCTAACTGCGCAGCTGAGACCAGCACTGAGACCCTGCTTTCTAGTTTTGCATGTGAAGGCATAATGGTACATAAATGTTAAATGCTCAATTCATAAAATCAAAATCACAGCAGTGACACGCCTGCCTCCTCCTGTTGGAACAAAGCTCTCCAAAAGCTAGTTAGAGGAGCAGGAGAGAATGCTCAGCACTTTGAATGCTGTTTAGAAAAACACTTTTATGCAATAGATGCATATATATATAGATGCCAATAGATAGAACAGTAAGGCTTTGGGCACAAGTATCTCCAAAGCAGCAGGAATAAAGAATTTACTCCAACTGTTGAATTTCAGAACATTTTAAAAAACATATCTGCTAAGCATTGTCTATCTTGTACTAGGATCCTTCCCTGCAGTGTTTCAAAACATGCTGCTGAAAGTTACTATCAGATACCAAAAAAGAGCTTGAAAAAAAGGGAACTCTCAAACTACTCAAGAAATTCCCGAAACAAACATTCTCTTTCATTTTCATGTAAAATTCTCTATTTAGTGACCCAAACTTCGCTGCTGTTCATTTAGAGGGCATCTGGGACAGCCCCTGAGTTTAAATTCCATCTTTTCCTCTTCCCAGCCCTGCCAGCCCAGCCAAGCAGCCAGTGCATGCATTGGGAGATCACATGTGCTAAGGCAGGGAAGCAGAAAAGCATGTGGGATTCACAAGTGGTAAATGATTAATGTGCAGCGATAGTCCTCCTTTTGAAAACGGAGAGGATTTGGGTAAAGCTCAGCCATGGGTAAACTCAGAGTTTCAGTTTTTCTAAAACATTCTGAAGAAATGACCCATGAACATCAAATGCACCATTCCTCAACAGTTCATTAAATTATCTTCCAGTTTCTTCAGGTTAAGCAGAGAAAACTGCATCCACTAGGAAGGAAAAAATCCCCTGTGTATTCACAATACATAAGCAGTCAGTAATCATTTGTCTTCTATCCTAGCTCCAGATAAATTCTTGAGAAAAGGTCAAAGTTGAAAAGATACACATTATGTTTTAGACTTCGCAGCCTTGCAGCCAACATTTCTGGCCATTTTAAGACCATCCAGACCAGTATCATTTTCCTGTACTGACAATGTTATATGAATGGAAAAAAGAAAATAAAAACAGCAGAATCTTTCCTGTGTGGCAGAGTACTTTCTCTGATCTGGCACAAGTGCTGTTGGCAGCTGCAGCATTAACATTTCAAATTAAAGGAAACGTTGCCATTAGGAAGGGATCTAATCTGCAACGCAGCCAGCATGGGCACCTGCCAAGAAAATACGGAAACGCACAAGGTCGAGACCTCACTTCTAAACCCCTTCAATCCAACCATCAACAAAATCCCCAGTCCGAAATATTTCAGTGCTCTCACCAGTCCTTGGCAAGCTCTCTCTAAAAGAAGACTATTTTTCTGACAGGAAGCAAAGATAATCCATGCAGAAACAGGCCAATTAAAGACAGCGGCAGCTGACAAGAGAACTCGTTAGTAGCAGACAGCAAGGCTTGAAGGCAGTACCCAAGCTGCAGCCCCCGCACCAGGTAGCTGTGTTCCAGACACTGCAAACCTAACCCCACTGCCCAGCTATGAAACAGCAAGTAGCTCATCTGCTGACTCAGCTCCAAACCGCTCTCTTCTCATAGCTGGATTTGTCCTTCATTACAGGCAGAACTGCCTCCAGTAATCGTGCTATGGCTCTTAGAAACCTAACACGTACCCAGTACAAGTATTATTCTGCTGATCAAAACACAGTAATTGCCAGGCAGCGTGTTTTCTTTATGGAATATTGCTTTGGGTTTCATGCAGATACAGTTTGTATACTTCCATAGAAAGGCTACACAATGCAGCAGCTGGGACAGAAGTTGAGATCCTCAGACAGCATTAAGAGTGACAAACTCAGGTTCTAAATCCTAGAGGAGGCATACCAAGATCAAACCTGAAACAGACTGGCTACAGAGTCCTCTCTGCTTCTGAACAAAAGCAGTAGGATCTCAAAGAGAAGCAGAAGCCTTACGAATACTAGCACAAATGTCCACCTGAATCAGATACCCAGGAAGAGTTGTTTGGAGCAAGAGTCAGACATTTTCACCAGAAGAAATAATGGCTGTAGCACACTGCTTGCAATTAGACCAACAAACAAAAAACAAAACCATTTTGAGAAGGCTGAAGAACAAAGAAACCACCACCTTTCACCCGCCACCACGGAGGGAATCAAGTGATGAACAGGATCTCAGCACAAGCACAGATTTCAGCTACTAGATAAATCAAGGGCAAAAGAAAGAAAAACAGCATTGATCATATATTCTCACTGAATCGTCAATATAATGCAACAGACAAAGCAAAATTATCCTCCCTCTTGTAATTCAAAATCCATAGTATTGAAACTCATCAGTGTGATTTGCAGAACTTGAGCACATTTGTCACTGCACGATTTATTCTTAAGAGGTGCTGAAGCAAATCAGATTCATACACCAGTCAATGGGAGAAGGATCTTTTCTCTTGAGGGCAGGAACAGCTTAGGATAAGAGCTTTACTGTCCATCCACTCCACCACAGCTGCTCCTCAGAAGTCTCACAGAAATCAGAACTACCTTTCTAGGATCAGCCATAACAGGCTGAAGAAGGTCAGAAGTGTGCACACATCAGTGTTGGTTTTGAAATACCTCTGCAATATAAAATTTCTTTTAAGATGATGAATGATACAGAAGTTTACCTTCAAACAAATCAAGCTGGTTTTGAGATGCATCAATTCCTTAAAACAATGCTCAGATTACGTAAACTCAAAGCTCTTATCTTTAGCTTGTGTCATTTTCCTCAAGCTCCCATTCTCCCTAAGACAAAGAAAGGATCAGCTTGTCCATTTAGTAAGATTTTTCCAAGAGATTCAACAAATGCAATGATTTACAAGATTCTGCATTTTATTAAGGACAGAGCTAAGTCTTTGGGCTCCACGATACCAAGCAAAAGGTTAAAAGAAATACTAGGACAAAAGAGAAGAACCCAGCTCTTTCCAAGACCTGAAAATGCTGTTCTGGATGCAGTCACTGCAGCCCTGGAGAAACTGTCTTTTGGTTGGCAGTGATTATGCACGTTGCCTTCAGCTCCCCAGACCCAGACTACACTCACAGCAACAAATCAGCTCTATCACCACAAACTTGACTCTCAATTTACGTTAAAGATACAAAGTAGGCAGTTCACTTAAGCATGGATAAAGAAACAGGCACTTGGATCATGCCTAAGCAAGCAAAAATCATTTCCCAGCAAAGCAGAACGTACCATTTCTTGTCTTGCTGGTTACCTCCTGGGCTCCTTGGGAGGTTCTCTATTTCCACTAGGACTGGGGCAGAAGGAACTGCTGCTGTTAGGACAGGTAAGTTTGGCTTCACATTCCAACTCTTTGGAGACAGAACGTAAACAAGTAAGTTGCCATACACACTTCAATTAGGCAATGACACGTTTTATGTAAGAAAACATACGACCACTTTTCCTTAAATACAAAGCTAAAACAGGGCTGTTTTCTTGCATTACTTCCACAGCACTGGACTCCTATGCCCAGTCTTTTCCAGCAGTACACAAAACACCAGGATTGGATTGAATTGAAGGCTGCTCAAAAAGCTCAGTTTGCATAAAAGCAAAAGCTGGGCAGAGCACCAACTATCTGTTTGCTTCTAGCTGAGACTGTGTTCAACGTTCAAATAAACCGGATTTTCAATTCCCACCAGTCTGCGATCCCGCAGTGACTGAAATGCTCCAGAAAGCACGACAGGGTCCTTCCAAACTCCAAGTCCTACTTTTTGGTACTCAGAATGAGAGTTATCTTACTGTTTTCAGTGAAACAAGGCCTTCTATGCTAAGGAGGTACTGGAACCAGGAATCAACACTGGTGCTGATGGATTATTCCAGATCTTTTGTATTACTTAGCACGTGGAATTAATGTGCTTTAGATGCTAAAATCTTGTACACAGAAGTACTTTCTGTACCTATGAAAACCTGCATTTATAAGTAGAGTAATTTATATAACACTGAGATATGTTATATCCTCTTCACTGTAGTAAAGGTAACCAGCTATCTTGCTTTAAATAAGTAGCTACTTCTTTGCTTGCAGTTTGGTTAACTGCATGTAACTTTTGATACAGCTGGCCAGATAAGGAAATAATGACATCCTCAGATCTGTTGAAATGCATGAAAACTGCCTTTAAAAGAATGAAAGAGATAGGCCTTACTTGTGATCCATTGGTCTGAGTAATAACAGCATTGTTTGGAAAACTGAAAGATAAAAAAGAATTTACATCACAATCAGATCAACAAATTATTGAAGTCTGGCAAAACTGTAAGAATTTTCAAAAAGAAACAAGATTTAATGAAGAGCTTCCAACATTACTTAAACATTCTCAACAAAAAGTTTGAAAACTTATGTTCTGGGTCAACTGCCTCATTTTAGAAGAGTAAGGGTACCATGTTGGTTTGTTTTGCTGTTTTTGTTTCATCTGTAATTCATCTTTGTTTTGTTATTTCCTCTACCTTTCCTGACTCAGATAAACCCTTCTGATTCAGCAGTAAGGCAGGGCACTTTAAATGCAAAAATTTTTAGCTAAACGCTCAATAAAACACAACATTGTCAAAACCTCACTTACATGCTGTACATTTCTGTCTGTTCCATAACTAACACGCCTCTGATTTAAGTTCCATGCCATAGTTTGTCAGAAAAAAAAATCATGAGCTTCTTCTGTATACAGGCTCTAATAGACTGAATTACTACTTTGGTCTTAAAAAGCAGTTATTCAAAGTTTTATGCACAGAAGTTCAGCACAGCATCAACAATTTTATGCTTTTTGTTATTCTGCATATTCAAATGTTCATGTTTTTGAGAGATTTAAAAGCACGAACATCCTGTACAATAATTATGTGTTGTAAATCTTATGCAAAGCTAAGTGCTCAAGAAAAGACTTAAGGCTTTTTTTTTTCCTAATTTTTTTTTTTTTTTCCCCTAATGGTTCCAGGATCTTACCACTAATTATTCTTTTGATTGATGATCTGGACAACAGCACACCAACCTGGCAAACTGACAATTTAAACAGATCTCTATCTAAGCTGTTCCGTGCCTGCTTCCCGACTTCGCACCTTCTATACTGAGAGAAGGTGGAAGTTACCACAGAAGAGAGCAGAAATATTTAAGAATGCCTTCTGGGCAGCACATTCCCCAGTGCTGAGGTAATGCCAAAGAATGGAACAACATACATCTTTCATGATGCATTTCAATTAGCAACGCTGGAGTGTAGAGTTTCAGCAATGGCATTGATTGCTCTGGAGACCAACATAACAATGCCACACCTATGTGGAGATCAGAAGGCTGCTCTTATCAGAAGCAAAACTGCATATGGAGTTTCTCCTCCCACTCTCACAATGACCTAAGCAGCATGAAACTCATGGGAGGGTGTAACAACAACAGCATGACAAGAGCACTAATTAATCAGGCCGTCACACGTTTCGTGCAGAGTATATTCAAGCACTCTAATGATAACCAGCATTAAAGAGAACTTTCCAGTGTCATGAAAAGGAAAGCCAGCAAAGGAAGAGACTTGCCTATAAAGTCCTGAAATCAAAGAGACCTCCACTAAAGCAACTGCAGAATTGGCCTCACCTTTCCTAGGCTTCCCCCTCTCTCACGTAAGAAGCAGCCTGCACTGAAAGCAAAACTTGGTTCCTCCACTACCAGGGAATTCTTTTAGCCTGGTTTCTCTCTTCCCAGAGGGAGCATTGTAAAACCCAATGATCTGATTTCATTTCATACTGCAACTACAGTATGAACTTCCACATTCAGAAAGACTCCAGGCATAGAAATGAAGCATCTAAAGGCTTCTCAGTGCTGGTTATGACTAATTCATAACTATCAGTATATAAGAACATTCTCAAAGAATGTACAAATAAATATAAGTACAGTACAGAATATAAAGATAAAAGCACTTCAAACACTTAAATATCTCAATCACATTGCCAGAATAGGCAGATCTCAGCAAGAACCTCATGTTTTCAGCTGATTTTTTTACATGGTGGCACAGGGAACTACAGTTTATAATCTGCAAGTTATCAGTAGCTTATAATCATAGCTAGTCATAAACAAATAACATTGTCCTCTAGTAAGCAAAATCTTCAATGTGACAGCAATACAGCAGCTCTGCTTCAAATAGTAGGATTTGTTTAAAGCAAACAAACAGAAAATCCGCAGCAAAACTACATTTAAGAGGTTAATGCTGTTTACATTCAACCAATCTTATAACTACCTGCAGACATGCATTCAAATATAGCTGACAAACATCAAAGAGAAAGGTTTAGAGTGCATCTTACCTCGTTTCTTCAAGTTTAGCAACATGTGCTGCAAAAGTACACATAAAGTGTTAATTAAAAAATTTGTAATTAACCTGTCAGTTAAATATTGCAGTGTATTATTAACATAGTCAAGCACTGACTAAAAGTAGGCAACTAAAGACCAAGCGCTGCATGTATTCCATGTATAACGTGTTAAAAATGAAGTTTTAAATTATAAAAATAAATAAACTCAAGAGTAAACCAAAGATGTGGATTTAAGCAAAGATCTGCCTGGAGGTCACTTTGCAAGAGGGAGGAATAAGAGAGAAGGTGAGCACCAGGTGCTCCTAGGCAGCATGTTGTGCTTCGGACACAAACATTTTCTGACAAATAGACATTACCTCCCGAATAAGTAAAAAGAAACCTAATTTTGAAAATTCAGGGGAAGCTATCGGAAAATGCCTATACCAAACCTTTTAAGGATATGATCAGCTTTAGAGGAGGTCATCACAGTGGACTGTACATCTCAAAAAGAAATGTCACTAGCTCACCTTTCATTTGTAGTGTCCGTCTTGAGTATCTTTTGCTGGGCCTCCTTTCAAAGGATGCTGATCTCCTGGCTTTGTTGGTCTTGGTGGTTTGGTATTCTGTTTTCCCACTAACAGTGCCAAGTAAAAAACAACATGTTAAATCACTTTTCATGATGGAAAAGAGACTCTGTGCACAAAAACATTACATTTCTAATTTAAATTCATACTTTAATAATCAGAGCTCGGTTCTATTAAAAAAGTCCCAAACTTAGCACTTCAGAAAGTCACAAAAAAAGGAATTCTGTGACATCCTACCCTTTGTCCATTTTCCCAAAACAAAAAGCTGAAGGAAAGACTTCTTAAACATTAAGTTGCTGAGAGAGCACTTTGCTCATTTCTCAGAGATGGTACATATACAGACAGACAGAGGCTGAAAATTCTAGTAGAAAATAAAACTTAACGTAGCTTGTCAAAGTTCACAGAAAAAGAAAGTAACAAAGCCAAAATGATAACAACTAGACATTCTAATTCCCAGGCAAGTCTTCTTTCTTCAAGGATTATTTTCCATAAGCATTTTCAGTACACTGTTTTCCTCAGAACTCTGTAAGAAAAGGGTTTTGTTTTGTTTTTTTTTCTTTTTATTTTTTTTTTTCCCTGTAGTGTACGTTACCAGGGTGATTGCTAGTTGCAGTTATCTCATAATTCTTACTGGTCTCACACTACCCACCAAGTTCAGAGTGAAAACTGATGGACCCAACAGACCTGTACCGGAACCGGGAGCCCAGCCGAATGAAGCCTGATCTGCTTGAGCTTTTTTGGACAGGACCTCGGAGCCGGAAGAAGGCGTGATGTTCTACTGCACATTTCCATAAGTGCTTGCAAGCCTTGGGGTGATCCAGTCTAAAGACAAAAGTATGCTCCTGCTCCTTCCCCTTAAAACACACAAAGTATGCTAATGATTTGTAAGAGGCTTGAACAAATCAGAGACACAATTAAATGCAGGCCAAGTAAAATACTTTTTTTAATAGATACTAAAATTTGTGGTAAAAGAGAAATATTTAAGGCAGAAAAATTGACCTTTTTGGAAGATTTAATGAACAACTGCTCCAATGTCTTAAGATGGGAATGGTCAGCACCCATAAATTTCACAAAGCAAATCTTGACTTTACAAATTAGAGACATTATTATTATAGAAAGGGTAAAGTCTATGAGGCTAACTTGGTTTCACTTCCAAATCTGATCTCTTAGAATTAACAATGCTCACATTTTTATCTTCTCAGCTCTGAGCAATTTCTTCCCACGGGAACAACTCTGGAATCTGTCCAAAGAATTCAATCCACTAGAAGTGCTACCTGGACTTTTGAAAAACTTTCTTGCACAATGCACAAAACCAATACACGGTTGCCAAATTATCTGATCTTCAGTAGTTTAATGAGGTATTCCTCTTTTAAAAACAGGGTGAGAAAAAAAGTAATTTAGCTTTTTTATTTCACATTTAACTCCCTTTATTCCCCACAAAAAGTCACAACCAAAAATCTCGGAAGGCATCCATGTTAATTCTCAAAACTTACAGATCAGGAACATATAAACAAGTACTATATAATCAAGACAGAGATGTAGCTAAACAGATTGTTATCTACCTGTTCATCATCTTCAACAACAACAAGAGTGAGTTTGTTCTTCTTGAAGTCAAGTCTTGTTATCTTTGGCCTGCAAGATGAACAGAAAAAACAGGTTATGTTCAGCTCTCTCAATAGCAGCTCAGTGAGAGCTAGGTTAGACGTGATGATCCAAGTTCTTCTACCTCCCCTCCCTGCTCCCTTTTTTGTGGGTCCTTTAAGTTCAGGCAGCAGAGCTTCGTTATACTGTGGATGGCAATACATTACTTTCAAATTTAACACTTCAATAGAAACTTTAAAGTAAAAAGCAACTTCCAAACAGTTTGATCTATCAGAATTAAAATAATAATTACTTAAGTGGAACTCAAGCTTCCCCTAAATACCTCTGCATGCCTCATCTTCCACAAGCACACAAAACTGAACTCATAAGGATACAAAGGCAGATGAAACCTTTCTAATGCATTATTAAATGCATTATTAAAAAAAAAAACAAAAAGCCTGTAGAGTATATCATAGATCATTTCCAATGTTGGCTTCGTTTCAGAAAATTTCAAATGCAGATAATACAGTATGACATAAATGTAACCACTTTCCTACTCAACCAGCAAAAAAATACCTAGACAAAGATGGAGGGACTCCTGTACTGAGTTGACAGGACACGCAAATAGTATTTTTGCCACAAAGTGAGTGTTTCTCTGCAAAATTTATAGGACTGGACTAAGTTAAAGTAACTATTTGTATGATGAAATTCCACTCACCATCTGCCTGCTCATTCTCTGTACATGATTTAAAAAAAAAAATTGTTTTTGGATACTGTAAAAATGCTTCACAAGCCTTGCAGGTACCCAGTATTCCCACTTCTCTCATGTTAAAAAGAAAAAATAAAAATTGGGTAGTGCAAAAGAAATGAAAGAGTGAAGATATAAATTGTATCTCAATGCACAATTGGAAAGCTTACCAGAAAAACAAACCAATCTTTGTGTCTCCTTCAAAGACAAGAACTCCTGTAGGGGTTAGTCCCAGGCTGTAATCATTGCCGTCTCTTGCCTAAGTGCCACAAAACAAAAATCATGCTCATTCCAGTGTTTGACTACATATCCACATTATCCAGTGATTAATATAGATTATTTGCCCAGTGTTACAGTTAAACATGTATCTGGTTATTTAGTGCAACAAGGATGTCCTATGTGTTTCTGCATTCAATGATCTTATGCAACGGATTTTTCTAGATGGCATCTAGATGGCATTCAATAAGACAAAGAGGAAAACTCATGTTTCTTGATTTGTCTTTGTTATGAGGACTGCCTTTGTGCAGTCCCTCTCCACAGAAGATCTATTTTTACGTGCAGCTTTTCAAGAGGTAACCAACTGGACTCTGGCCACTTTTAATTTAATTGCTATGATCTGCACTTAGCTCTCAGTCAAAGCACAAACAACAGAATGCCACACTAAGTGCACATTTCATACAGAGCAAATATCCTTGGATTTCTATCTTTTACAAAAGCACAATGTAAGGCGGAATGTTGATAGAAAGTCACATCACTTGTTACATACTTCAGGTAAGTACTGCGCTCCATTTTTCTCCCTCAGAGCAAAACCTGTGTTTAAACGCTGGACAAAGCTAACATGATCATTTCAAAAGGTCACCATGCTGTGGTTAAACATACCTTGACTATGTGCATGTCTACACCATACATTTCCAGCCACTTAGCTTTGTTTAAGTAGTTAGTTTCAGCCTGTGCTGGTGTTTGCCCCCTGAAATACATTTTTTGCCGTTAGGTTGATGCCTGAAGAAGCACAGAAAGAAAAAACTGGCATATGAGGAAAGAGAAGAAAGCATGAGAGGTAGTGAAAAACCTAAGCACTGCTGAACCTCCTTCACCTTCACTAATATGAAGGCCACTTTTGAAATTTTTAACTTGAAATCTTTGCAGCAAAAATTGTTGTATTTTAAGATTCTGCAACCGCATCGTTTTACTCAGACCTTTGGAAACATACATTTTTCACATTACATCCTTTTACAAAATATGACAGAAACGCATTAGGATTACATTTTTCTATAAGAACAAGAAAAAAGCATCAGCAGTATCTTCTTAATATGTTCACTTCATTGAAAAATGAGTGCAAACACTTGGATGGCATGCACTGGAAAATCTTGTACCTGCATTCCTTCCACTTCTCAAAGATGGCCAGCTCCATCTCTTCGGTCTGAGTAGGCACAAATCTGAACTCAGATACCAGCTCAGGGACGTGCTCAGCAGGATCGTAGTCTCCAAGTTCAGCTGTAACAGAACAGCATTATCAAACAGTGTTCACCACAGAGACAGAAAATATGAACAGGAACTGTTGTGTCCTTTTCTAGTTTAGATATTATGCTTCTTTCTGTGCTCCCCCTCCTCTTCTCAGACCTCCCTGTAATTGCAGTGCCACCTTTTTTGACAAAGAAGTTAGGGACACACACAAAAAAATTATTTTACTGTTTACACAATAGTTTTGCATTAATTTTACAACGTGTTGTTGATAAAGCAGTATAAAAGCTTCTTATAAGTTGAAGTTATCAACGTCCTTGAAACAATTCTTCTTGTAGAAAATTTTCAACCTTTTTGTCATTGATGCCTCCACTGAGCCAACAGCTGACTCAAGTTACAATGGAATTCTGTATTAAATTATTAAAATATATTCCAATTTGTGAAGTGCAAAAACAGTTTTTAGCTTTCCGTGAATTATCTGTCCTGCTCTAAAGATTAATTTTTGGTTTTGTGACTATAAATCTGTCCTGCTAAATTTACTCTCTATCAGGGTGTCATCATACAGGTGGTGGTTGTTCTCTTTCCCTTTCTCAAGGACTGCAATGTCAATACCAAATGGCTTATCTAGTACACTGCTGCATGCTCAGCAGGGGCAAGAAATGATGCTACTTAGAGAGCGTACTGGAACATACTAATCAGTCAGTGTGCTATGTCAAAGTGCAGCCCTCTTTTTCCACAAATGCTAATAAGTCCTGCTGGAAAGATTGATGTATGCCTAAAATGCTGACATTCAGTTAAGAAACTTTTACAAGGAAGTCCTGATTTCCAGAGTCACTACGTATTTGCTCCTCCCACTGATTTCAAGTGGCTTCTTGATGTTCAACTTCTATCCAAAAATTCAGAAGTAATTCTAACTTGGAACTTAATCTTCCAATAAATGCCAATAATTATTCTGTCTGCAAAAAGAAACTACGTATGTTATAGAGGAAAAAGAAAGAAAGGAACGTATTTGAAAAGACACGGAAAAGTCAAACCTATAAAGTATTCCACAGGTGCACAAACTACGCACGATACAATGATGTGCCTTGGATTTCTGAACACAGTGGGTATATCAATAGCTTTTTCGCTCCCCTCCTTCTCTCTTCTTTCCTTTTTGATTATTTTTTTTTAAATGCTGACAGAGGAAGTCTGCAGTTCTATAATAATTTACTCCCACTAAAACGCCTGCCTCTGTTGAAAGGAATGCTGTCAAAGCCAGCTTGGGTTCCAGCTGATTTAAATAAAAGTACACAGCTGTCAGACAGCAAGATGAAAGCCCTGCTGCAGGCCTCACTGCGGAGGGAGGAAAGAAAAGACCAGCACAAAAAGAAATTTGTGTATGGCCCAATTAGATCACTTAGATTTTCCAAAAAGTTACACACTGAACCCGTATCTTTAGGCTCTAACAATGCTAATTTTTTTAACTACAGATTGTATTCTGTTTTTCTTCCATTCAGAAGAACAGGGGAAAAAGACAGGTTTCTTTACAGCTTAACACCAGCTCTCTATACCTACACGTGATCAGGGCTATTAGTAGCTCCTCCCCTTAAGGGCAAAACATGTTTTGGAAAATATCTGTAAGAGGAAGAATTTCAGTGACCTGGCCCTGTTACCTAACTCCTGCTCACCAAGTGCAACAGTATGCTGCTTTACAAGATGAATGCTGCACAGAGAATTTGTGCTGCACAAACACATGGCACATCTCCAAATTCCCTTTTCCGTACCACAGCTTCACAACAAATTCTGGGATGCTTTTGTAGACTCAAACTGGGTTGAATGAGGCCACATTGCTATATCCTCCAAAAAGGATATAACCCAGATATATCTGGAACTTCAAGCCTTCCCTCTTTTGTGGGTTTCTCTGAAACTACAGCAAGCTTCACGTTTGTTAAGATCACATCCTCAAGTAACGCCAGCCACAAAGATCAATAATGCACACCCTACACAAGTAGGTAAAGGACACACCACAGCTCTCAGGGAAACCATGGATTAGGGAGTTCCCAGCTGGAATCAGAAGTCAAAGGCAATTAATACGGTTAGCACAAAAGTACATTAGAAAACAAATTGAGAACAAAGCTGTTTATGTTCAGAACCTCCTTGTTCTGTTTTCTAAGGAATCAGTAACTTTTTATACACACAATCATCAAAATTACACTCGACAGCAGCTCTGTTTCACACTGGATTGCTAATATTTGCACAGAACCTGTTCACTGCATACCAGAAGGACAGACTAAAAGAGGTAAGAAGAGTATGTGTGTACCCACTCACCTTGCATATTATAAGCTGCCAACTGGACGGCTGTGTCAAAAGGACATTCCAACCTGCAAGAAGAGAAATGCCTCATTAAAACCCTCTTCTGGCACTATTTAGCAGACAACTCATACACCTGACAATGAGAAACTACAAACAGTTAGTATGAAAGTGAAAAAGGATTAGTAGATTTTCACCAAATTAATGAGACAAGTACTAAACTAAATGAGCACTACTCATGCAACAAAAGCACAGTTCTAAAGAAGAATTCATTACTTAGCAAAACTTACTAGTTATCCAAATATGGAAGTTTAATAAATTCTATGCTAATCACTGTGTAGTTGTTCAAAAGATTGTTTATCAGGAATACTTACTTTCCACTCAGAATATCCAGTTTTAGCTGCAGAACAAATAAATACCTGCAGGATTAAATGAGAAGTCACTGATTAACAGTTCTAATGTGTCACTCAGTCAAGAGAAAGCAGTTAGAGCCTGAAAAACTTAAGTCTTCTACTCCTTACATAGCTTTTTCAAGACAGAAGAAATTGCACTAAATGTGCTTCATCAATTGGGTTAGTGTAGCACACATTTCAAATGACACAAACCCCAAACTGGAAGTTGTCAGAAGCTGAACTATACACCTGCATGGAAAAACAAAACGGAGTACCTAAATAATTCTCATCAGGATCAGCAGAAAAGGATGGGGATGCAGGTGACATCAGGCTCAGTGTGAGTCAGCAGCTTTCCTGTCAGCCAAAACTGCATTTTGGAGTGTATTCATTCAATACATCACAACCAGATGGTCAAAAGAGGTGATTCTCCCACTATATTTAGTGTTGGTAGATTTTACATCACTGCCTTGCTTATTTAGTCTTCTCCTTCTTGTGTAAACTGGGCAGGCATTCAATGAAAAGCGTTTACCCGCTCCAGTGTGCAGCACCCATCTTCCAATCCAACACCCACAGCCTTCTTTCTGTATTATGGCACAGCTTTACGTTAACAACCGAAGAAGCAGTCTCACCAGCTGAAAGGATGACTTCAGCAATGGCATCCAGATTGAATTCCACTGCAGTTGAACAGAAGCCTTACACAAAGCCAAAGACGATGCTTCTGTTTCAGCCCTGATGTTCACGAAGAGCATTTGTGCCTTATGTCTGCTCATACCCGCATACATGGATGTGAAACTGATGCACGCAGTTTTTCTGCAGGTCCCTTGGAAATCCACAAGTACTTTGACAAAGCACTCATTATCCAAAGCTGGCCTCTACATAAGGAATGCATTTGTTTAGTATTGACCCTGGATATCCAAAGAATGAGCACAGACTCCCAGTATGCAGTGGGTGTGACCAACCTGTGCTTATCTGCCACATAACACTTGCAAACAATTCAATCACACTTCCCATGCTCAGGCTGTGTTACATGACCTCTGGCTGGTGGCATCTAGCAGGAAACCAGCAGAAAATGTGACCAAGCTGCACCTGTGGAAGCTGATGACAACAGTCTCCAGCTGTGTGTCCTATCGTAAGATAAGAGTGGAACTTCTGGAAAGCCACAGTATCACCTGTAACCCAGAGCAGAGCTCCTCTTCCCAATACTGCTTCATGAAACAGTCGCAAGACAGAAGACAGGCATGCTGCACTCCTGGTCTGGGGGATTAGCTAAGCAGATAGACAGGGTTTAAGAGCCCTCAGGTTTCAGTTCTGTCATGCTAAAACCTGTACAGCGAGGTCTGACTGGCAGAACTCAGTCAAGACAGATGAAAATGTTTCAGATTGGTAGACAGATACTGGTCTGAACTTTTCCTATTACTATGATTTTTAAAGATAACTATCTGTTGATCTGGGAACATAAATCAGGAAGTAAAACGTTCCTCCCAGGTTACCAAGAAGAAATTTAAACAATTCTAAAATGAAGCTAACAGATGTGAGTAAGAAGCTGCACAGAGTACATATGGTTGCAAAGGGTAATGCTACTGTAATCTTCCTGGTGGCACTGCGAGGGATTTGGCTGGAGTGCAGATCGAAGATTCACACAGAGATAAACACCAACACCAAGCACACCCACTTGCATTCATAAAAATGGCTGCGGGTATGAAGTGTCTGCAGCTGTCAAGAAAACATAACAACTTTGTTTTCTCTCCAAAATGGATCATCAGCAGTGGTGACAACAATGCGAAGTAACACTTTCACAACAGATTTATACAGCTGACAGATGGTAAATTGTGTTCCCTTTCAAAGCACCCCAAATACGTCTCAGTCCAACATGAAATGCAGCACTGTGAACGAGCATATAAAATGCTTTCAACAAGAGAATTATCTGCTCACCTGACAGTACAATCCTCCACAGGCAGTACTGTCAGCCCACCTCAAAACAGTGTAAAGCAGCATTTTCTCTCTGCATAACCACTGCAAAGATTATAGACGCAATGAAACATAACCAACTTTATTTCTACCAAAGAAAAGCCTGCAGTTCAGTGCTTTTCTGCCTAAAAAAAACCCAGGCAGCTAAAACTAAATGCATTCAGTAGAATACAGACAAACGATAGCACATCAGTAAAAACGTCTGTCCATTCCATATAAACAGACTGGCTGCTGGAGATGCATAATGAAAAACAGTGCATAAACTAATACAGCAAATACTGATACATTTACCAACAGCCAGGTAAGCCATCAGCTTTAAGCAGTTCTCCAAAGCACTGCACAATCGTTCAAAGAACTAGCCAAAAGCCACACTTTCCTGGCCTTTTTTAGGCTCTCATGGCTGTCCCCTTCACAAAATCCATCCCACCTTGTTAGCTCCTCACGCAGATTGTTGGGCTCTGATGAGTAAAACTTGACACGAAAATGCAGACAGTATGGCGGGCCGACTGCAAAGGAGAATTCATTCAAGACAGAGTTAACATGTACCAGGTGAGACTTTTTTTTTATTACACAGAATCACATCTTAAACACTGACTGAAATCAGCACTGTCCTACCACAAAGTCTTAAGGTAGGAATTTCTCTGTGACAGGGAAGTGCAGGGTGAAAGTACACTTAAATATACACACAAAAAGGTTGTATGTGTTACACATCAATCCAGGAGTCATATCACATTAAGTTGATGTGTTCTGCCAAGCATGTGAAAATCTAGGTTAATCCCCATATTTAAGGGCTCCATCCATTGCCAAGAAAGCTGTGGATCTTGGCTGTGTGGTCAATCCAATCCCTACACTGTACAGTGAGCCTCTCCGGTGACTTTCCATAGCTCTGGGAAACACACACTACTGACGATTTTGATCTGTATATTCCACTAAATTTCTGACATATTTGAGGGGAGATATAAGAGACCCTTCCGTGGAAGAATCATCATCTCTGGAAACTGAAGAGTTAATCCAGCACAAGGATGGTTTAACAGTTCTTTAAAAATGCACAGCCCTCTGTACATTCCTGTATCTGACAGTAGGAATTTTCTGTTGGTGCTTCCAAAATGTTTGTTTTACTAATAAGAGCACTACAAATCCCCAGAGACTTCCTCCATCAGACAGAGAGGAAGCTGCTGGACTAAATCAGCTGAAATCAGCTCATGTCCCAGATTACCCAAACGTGGACTACAGACTCAAGCAGGCCCCAGTGAGAGTTATGCAGCGGGTAATGACTGGAGAGATGGACTCAAACAGTCTGAGGCATTCTGGGCTACTGCAGGGGATGGAGGCTCCAAGACAAGTTTTCCTATAGACAGGATAAAGATCTGTGGTGCTAAAGCACCTTCAGCTGCCTTGTCTCTATTTAAACTATAATTAATGAGCCTCTAACATGTTTAATTAAGGACATTAGATGAAAGTAATATGAGCTGTAGAGGGAAGAGGTCATTAAGCAGTGAGCAGCTACACACTGAGTTTTGTCCCTGTGTTTTCCTCCCTGAGCACAGCCCCTTTCCCACCTCACACAGTTTAACTCTGTGCCTCCTGCTCAGTGTGTGATTCAAAGAGAAAATGGGAAGGACACTTACTTTTAACTTGCTTTTTGATGCTTTTTGTGTTGTCCAACCAGTGCTGAAAAATAAATGCATTCATCAATAAGATCTCACAGAAGACAAACAAAAAAAACCCTGTATTTTAGCAAAGACTATGTTGTAAAAACAACTAGTCTATTAAAATAGTCTAATCCAAATCTTTTACAATTCACAGTTCTCAGTGCCCATTGAAGATACTTTCAGTCAAAATTTATAATGCAAATGTTAGTAACAGAAACATCTTGACGTACCTTGTTTAAATCCAATTGTCAAGAACGTATCATCCATTTAAAAGTATTCTGCCACTATTTCTTTTTTCAACTACTAAAAAATTCACCCTATCCAACCAAAAACTGACCCCACACATCAATAATCAGGCAGAGCAATCCAGGGAGGCAGAAGCCAGAACCCAACTTTCTGACTCAGCTGTGATCACTTCGATGTGGAGAGGACAAACAAAGTCAATATTGTTGTCTTTTGGTCCTTCTTTTTAGATCACTCGAGTGCAGCAAATACCAGCAGAGCTGTGGATGTCTGAACAAAACAGTCAGCTCCCACGATTCTCCAGCCTATTTGCAGCTGACATTTCAGCAATCGTTACATGGGAGTACAGAAGTTAGTGCCTCGTTTACTAATGCTAATTCTAAGCTCCATACTAGACATAAAGGCTGATTATCCGAAGCCAAAATAATGGTTTAATTTATACTGCACATAAGAGCATGTGAAAAGTAAGCTGTAAATAGCAGGCCAAGAGAAACTCCTATATGTATATGCCATGCTTCTTAACATAACTGCACAAACTTCCACTGCTGAAGTGTTTACACCAGAAATTAAAGTTGGGAAACCAGCACCCAGCTAGCAGAAGAGACCTGCTTTGGAGGGCCATCAACACCCTGGACAGCTTAGCTTGCAGCACCTAAGAGGTGACTCAGTGCAGCAGGAATCCTAGCACCCCATGCAATGCAATGGCATGGGCTGAAGAAGCTGTCCTGCACCCCATGTCCTGGGTGCTCACAGTGCCCAGGTAACACTGCATCACCACACCAAGCCCAAATGGCACCTCACAACTCATACAGACAAGCTCCATAACTAGCAGCATGCCTTCGGTTCAGCTCTGTACCATGAAATTTGGAGCGGGCCCCAAGGAGGGCAGGAAAGCAACAGGGCTATGAGACAGAACCGGTATTGCCAGGTTGTGATGCCAAGTGCAAACCTGTTCCTGCACTCAGAGCAGGGCTGTGACACAGCCAGGATGCAGGGACTAATGGGTCAGCTGGAGATCAGAACACCACCAACTGCTGCGCTGTGCACAGCTGCACATGCCCTTAAAAGTCATTTGAACAGAGTAGCTACAGAAAGCTATTTAAAATGTTATCTAGTATTTCTAAAATAAAGCAGGAACCTCAAAGAGGAATGAAGTATTTGTCAGCTCTGCTTACAGAGCCAGTAAAATGGAGTTTTTGTTTTTGTTTTTTTTTAAGAAAATGCTATGATCTCTCTTCCTATTCCACAAACTCACTTGCTCTGAGAGAACTGAGTTACTTCTTCCCTCCACCCTAACAACACACACTCTCCACCTGACACTTGCAGGTGATTTAGACAAAGGATGGGCTAAGAGAGTGTGCCCACCTCATTGCCCTTCTGCTTACTCTCATCTCCTCCACATTCCAGTGCAGGCCCTGGGAGGCCCAAGACAGGCACTGAGCATCCAAGTATGCTCAGCAGGGCTGCTGCCTGCAGAGCCTGCTTGGGATGGGGCTGCATGGCAGAAGGGAAACAACTGCTTTCCAATGGAGGGGAAGGAAGGAAGAAACCCACCATGTGCATGGGTGCACACAGACATCAGCAAACTTAAGATTTACTCCAAGTGATTAAAATGGAATTCAGGTGGACCTGGCAAAAAGATCCTTTAAGTTCACACTCTGACAAGAGTTTGTACATCACAGCCTCCTGCTAAAATCCAGAGATAAAGCTCCCTAAACAACAGGCAGCATATGGAACAAAGTACTGGGAGTCATTACTGAAACAGTCTGCTTCTTCAGAAATTGTAATTTTAAAAAACAGCAACAATTCAAGAAGGTAGGGCAAATAAGTTTTTGTTGCTGTTTTGTTCTTAATTAAGATGTTGAGGTTAAAACCTGTGCCTGTTTGTGAACCTCATAGTTCATGCATACCTGGTGCAATGCCGTACAGCCGTTTCCAGCACTGCATGATACAGAAGGCAAAACAGCTGCTAAAGGAACAGAGCTGTGCACTATCACTCCATTAAGAACAGCAAGCCTTTGATGCTTGCAACTTAAACAGTTGGTAAATTCCTAAGTTCAGCAGTCAGTACTTCCTTACAAGAAACTTATTTTCCATATGGCTAAGGGGAAAGCAAAAAACCCAGCAAGTTATCCCCAATCTTTCTAGGTGCCATCACTGGGCACGCTGTGCTGCTCAGCATTAGCCTGAACCAAAGCTGCTCAAATTCACAATAGCCTGTTCCTTTGGCTTCAGCAGCACTCAGATCAAGCCTGGCACGCTGTGAACAAACGTGTAAATACCTCCTTTGCCTCTTACTGTGACTATCCTTAACCCCCAGACCAGCAGTTAACACGGAAATCACATGAAAAAGACAGTTTTTTGCACTTCACAAATTCTTTCAACAACTATCTGAACTCTCAAGTGCAAAATATCAGGAAGAGCTTGTCTTACATTTTGTTTTTCTCAGCACATCATAAATTCGAACACTGACCTACTACCAGTCACTGAAGTTCAAAAGAATCAATAAAAGGCATCTACGTATTTGGAATAGTATCCTTTGTATAGGTGTGATTTACTGAACATTCATTTTTAATCAAAACAAGCAGTTTCTCTCAGATTTTTTTTTCCAGCTACCTACATGTTGCTAGATTTTCACGGTTGTTACTGTTTTTTTTTTTTTTTAATACCTTCACGTGCAACCAGGCAGTGAAGCAATATAATCAGATTTCAATTGGATAGCAGAAATGATTTCTTCCTTCAGAGCGGACAGTCCTGTTCACTATGAGACTGGACTCTTGTGCTGTTGATTTAGCAGGTCTGCTAAATAGTTGTTGATAAGTCACTCGGTAGACCCTGCCTTTGTTTCCAGGAGGTTTTCTCTGTGCACCAGCCGTGTTTCTGCCAGAACGTGCCAGCTCCTCTTTGCAAGAAAGCTGCCATCACAATGGCTGCTCAGTTCGTAAAGCAGCTGTCTCCGGCGGTGGTGCTCAGCTCTCCTGGCACAAAGCAATCCTTCCTGCTTCGTTACAAAGAAAGTATCCTCGATGCTCAGTTTAAACAGACCGTAGCTTCTACCGTGCCTCATACATAGCTAAGAAAAGTAAACAAAACTTCAAAACCGCTTTGTACCTGGTACAGGGCGCGCTATCAGGTACTCATCAGGGCCGTCTGGACAGGAAGCAACAATTCGCTGGACAAAAGTGAGCCATAAGCCACTCCTCAGACAGAAAACCTTCACAGGTTTCACAGTTTCAGGACGAACTGATATTGCGTGACAGTAAAACAGTACGGGCCAACAGCTTAGCACACAGGTTGTGCCATCAGTTACAAGTAACGCCTCACAGGATCCTAGGAGCTCACAGAAATGCTTCAGATGCCACAAGTCAGAATATCTAAAGCAAATTACATCTTTTCTGAAGCGGATAAATAGATGCAATGGAGCCATTCACTAACAATACCTACTATCATCACCTCTGACTGCATGCTTAACACAGCTAACAAGACTTTTATAAATAAAAAGAGGTGTGCCTTCTAATTTCTGTTGACAGGAGGTATGCATGGTTCTAAATAACATCCCCCCTCCTCAGCACAACAGTTTTTTCCTCCTCAAAGCTACACCTCCCTGCTCTGCGAGAAGCTGACACCCAGCAGCAGCCAGTCCTTCTGGTCATGGAGTTTGCTTCGGGTGCTGAAGAGTCAAATGCTTTCTCCTCAAAAGAGGAATGCACAATTACAGGTTGAACACAAAACTTGATCTCAGTAATTCTAAACAGAAGCCATCAGGCTTACAAACACACACAGGTGCACTAAGATATCCTAACATTCCACTTAAACACAAAAGAAAAAATAATAAGGAAGAACATAAGGAGCTATCCTTGCAGGCTAAGCCACGAGAAGCACCTACATAAAACCATGCAAGTGCATGTGAAAGAAGGGTGGGTGCTCATGACAAGCAATGCTCTGCTGCTGTTTTCAAAAGCAGCTCATTTTTACAAACTTGAGCTTCCAAGAGGTCTCCGTGCAAACTATCTGGTACATAAACGACCATATCCCTCCTAACAGACAACACACAGCTTCAGTTTTCTTTTGGCTTTTTGGTCAATATTGCAATTTAACATTGAGATTGACTGCTACTCACCGCCACTTGTGCAGAATCCATGAACCTCAATCCAAAATAATCGCTTTCTATAAGGTCCAGATGATACATGATCTGCTCAAACAGGAGCTGGCCTTTGGCTTTTTTCTGAAAAGACAGAAAGATTTAATACCTACTGCACAGTCTACCCTCTTATCTAAGTATGTTTTGTATTGTAATTACAAAAGTAAGATGACTCAAAAATTAAGCTTCCCAGACTATAATCCGGAAAAGATTTCTCTCTCACATTTTGTGATGCCTATTTTTCTGAATGCCAAACACACACCCCACAAGAAGCATCTGTAACATCCTTATATGCCATGCATAATCAGGGAGGGAAGATTTAGGTTGGATGTCAGGGGGAAGTTCTTCACAGAGAGAATGGTGAGGTGCTGGAACAGGCTGCCCAGAGAGGTTGTGGATGCCCCGTCTCTGGAGGTGTTCAAGGCCAGGTTGGATGGGGCCCTGGGCCTCCTGGTCTAGTATTAAGTGGGGAAGTTGGTGGCCCTGCCTGTGGCAGGGGGGTTGGAGATTCATGATCCTTGAGGTCCCTTCCAACCCTGGCCATTCTGTGATTGTGTGGTTATGCCCTTTTTTGGAAAGTATTCACATGGACTCGACAAGGCTGACAGTGTCAGAATGTCATTTAATCACCGTCCCTTTTAGGCTTTCCTTATCCATTGATAAGGAATGGGAAACACAACTAGCATCACTGCCAATATCTAACACGATGAAACATTTTCAGAGTGAAGTACAGGAGAAGTTGCTGAAGAAATTACCAGTTTGCTGTCTAGGCAACTCACAAGTTCTGAAGTGGACAGAAAAGCAGGCTGAATTAGGATATAGCATTCCATTAGCAAGTGCTTCTAGTGACTGCCAGGAAACAGTCTGGGGCAAGGAACTTCAACAAACAGTACTTAAGATAAGGCATTTACATAAAGCTCGACTTGTAGCTGCAAAAAGCCACTGCATATGCTCATACATAATTGATGACAAAACCTTAGCTCCAGTCCCATGTAAACACTGCTTTTAATGTGATGATCTAAAAAATCAAAAATTAATTAAGTCTTTTAAAGAGAAAGCATGTAAATAACACTAAGCAGGTTCGATACCACATGCATTTTTCATGGTAAGAACTCCTTGGTAATAACACACTGGAAAAAAAAGGTACAATGACTATGTAGAGATGTACACCTCACCAAACTCATCCCGGGCAATTTTACCTGTTGACGTGAAATAAAGAGCTTTTTGGACATGAGATAAAGTGCTTTTTGGACAGCAGCAGATTTGCTAGACAGCAGCGAGAGTCTTTCAGCAGCAGCCTTAAGGCAAATCACCTGCATGTAAAGACATCTCATCTGCGATTTGAGTCACTGATGTCTATCTGCAAAGGGCAAGGCACCGGTCTATTGAGATGTTCCTGGCGCACTGTATTTTGTTCTTAAGCACACACTATACAGATGGAAGTAAAATTAAATCATCATTTGCAACCGCAAAACTAGAAGAAGGCTTCATCTTGCACAAAGCATTCTGCACCTGATTTAAAACTAAAGGGACATTTCCACCTTATTCTGCAGAATATTTCAGATTCTTCTCAATTCTGCAAGAAGTCACTCCTTAGGACTGTCATTAACCACTTATTCCAGCCAAATGCCAAGGCTGATAGCCCTCCTGGGGACAGGCAATGGAGCAGCTTAACTCAGAGCTGGAGTTCCGGCACACACCATCTCAGGCAGCAACAAGTGAAACGCCCGCCCGCACGCAGGTGGATTCCCTGCTGCAGCTCAGCAGGACGCCAGTCTCAGCAGCACACCGAAGGTTCACTGGGAGCGGGCTCAGAGTGAGCAATGCACCGAAGCAGCGGGGGGAGGTTTCCAGGGCCGCTGGCTGCCTTCTGACTTAAATCACCGAGTTGTCAGCACAGAATTAATTATGCAGCACTTTGCATGTGACTGAAACCCTCAGCTGTGTATTCGGTGTAGGTCAGCAGAAGTTTCACACGCTCTCCAGTGTTAAGTTCAAATTCTTCAGGGCTTACTGAAGTCCTCCTTCCTTATTCCATTTTCAAAGATACACTTCCACTGAGTGATCTAGTGAAGTTCCCCTAATTCTCCAGTGGCTATACTCAATGTAAATGACATTTTCACCTGGCTGTTACCTTCTGCTCTTTCCTTTTCTCCCCTCCTTGCAGCAGGGCTCGGGTTGCTCTCGCAGGACAAGTATTTTCAGCCTGCTTAATAGTTGCCAATGAACTACTACTAACCACTCTGCTCACGGGCAGTGCAACCAGGGGAGCAGATTTCAATACCCACCGTAACCCTAAGTCCATTAGAATACCATACAGAAGCGTTTCAGTGCACTGTGCTCAGGCTTACTGAGTCTAGAAGGAGAAGAGTAAAGACTCAAAACACTCCTACCTGCCAGCTTGTTTTGGCAGAACTCTTACCTAATCCCCACCAGAGACCAATTTATGGTCACATATTTGATTTAATCCATTTCTGTCTGTCCTAACATTTTTTTCTGATATAAACATTTCGGAATTGCTAGCCCAGCATTAAGCCTTAGCAGCTAAACATCTGCCCCAAACACTTAGGGCTGGCATTGCACTGCAGGGTTCTCAGCTCGGTTAAGAGCACACCAAGGTCTGTGCAATTGCCCTGAACACATCACGGGGCAGTTCAGCAGAAAGCAGTGCTTGGGCCAAAACACACTGTTATGCAGCAAGTCAGGAATGCTAAACCTTGAGGACAATTGAGCATCCTGCAGCACAGCAAGCCCCAAATGCTGACTGGAGGGGCTAACCCTGAGCATCCAAAATGTCACGGTCTGAATACACACACAAACAAACGTTATTTATTCACCACTCACAGTTTTTTGCCAGCTGAGATATAGTTTGAAAATTTAAAATCTAGCCTGCTACAAAACTAAGCTTTCCAACATCTCTAGCATTACTAGATTTTCTCCTTAAGCAGTGTTACAGAAAGCAGTCTGGATTTCATATTCACAACCACAAATACTCAAGCAAGGAGCCACAAGTATTTTACGTGCTTAGAAAACCAGACTGGATTATTAAGTAAAAACAACTAGCACAACACATCTCTGATCTCGCAGCAGATCAGCACAGATCATTTCCCTCCTCACAAAAAGCCAGCAGCACTGCTAATGGTTTGCTGCCACATGCTGTGGTGTTCCACACAGATTCAACTGCTTACAAGGGTGGATAGTGATAGGACAAGAGGAAATGGTATTAAACTGAGACAGGGGAGGTTTAGGTTAGATATTAGGAGGAATTTATTCACACAGATCATGGTGAAGCACTGGAACAGGTTGCCCAAGGAGGCTGTGGATGCCCCATCTCTGGAGGCATTCAAGGCCAGGCTGGATGTGGCTCTGGGCAGCCTGGTCTGGTGGTTGGTGACCCTGCACATAGCAGGGGGTTGAAACTGCGTGATCATCGTGGTCCTTTTCAACCCAGGCCATTCTATGATTCTATGATTCCTTAATTTTAAATAATCACCAGAAGCACAGCCCTTTTAATCTTATTTTGTAAGCATTACTCCAAAACCATGAACAGCTTGGCTAAATCCTACGATTGTACTGCGCTCTGCAGCTGGTTTACGTAAGACCTTGTTTTAACCATGCTTCATGAAAACAAGGACAAGGACCATCCCCATGCTGAACGGCATGCAGGTGGAAGGAAGGAATATTTAGGGCAGAAAGCTGCTGGTGGTCTGACTGAGCCATCCTCCCTCCCTGGGGCTCACACCTCAAGCAGCTGCCTATAGGTAACTTCTGCCTCAAACTCAGGTTGGATACACGGCAACTGGAACATCATTAATGCTCCATCATCCACCAGAAGATTATGCAAACTGTGGAGTAATAAGTTAAATGGGGTCAGGGGTTTTTTTTGTTTGCTTGTTTTTTGTTTTTAAACAAAGTCCTTGGTTTCCACAGAGCATGGATTTCCCATAAGCCTGCTGCTGCAGGGCTGCACTTGTTCTCCATGTAAATCCATCCACACACTTTTAAAACAAAGCAAAACCAAACCTCAAAATCAACACCTCCATGTTTTACTAAACATGACGGTCAGACTAAAATCATTGAATGCCTTTGGACAAACATCAGGCTTCAAAAAGTATAATAAAAAACAAGCCACAACAGACAGAGAGAACCACCAGGTCCCAACACAACCTTAGAATCCAAAATGAAGATGGGAAAAAAAGGAACTCCTTCCATCTGCCCCAGAGGACAGTGATAAGTTGTGTGAAGCTCACAGTCCCCGTTCCGAACGCACCGAGGTGACAGGAAATAGCACACATAGCACTGAGACTCTTTAATCATTGACACAGCTGCAAAATACGTAGATTCTTCACAAAGAATTCAGTCTGTGTACTGCACACGGCTGTAGCCTTGAGGAATAGTTCAAGTTAGGCAGTTTTGTAATTAGAAAGAACAGAAGAAATAGAAAAGCGGACAGATGAAGGGGCTTGACAGGCACCACAGATAAGATCAGAGGACAAAAAGCAGGGTTACTGCTCAAGCCCTGGCTCTGTTTAATAAAATAAGCTTAACTGCTTCATTTACAACACGACCCTTCTGTTTCATTGTCAGTATTTGCCAAAACATCAGCCTTGCTCCTTAAAAAGGCTCCGAAACATGCTTGGCTTACACAAGAGGCCACAGGGAACATTACTGAAACAGAAATTCAGCAATCACCAACATAGTCAGCCCTAAGAATGGCCACAGTTCTGGAATACTGTTCTTTCAGTGGCACATTCTTCACAAAGCTACAACTTAACAAGCCAGCATAAATCTTAGGCTGTCTCTAAGTGCTTCTTCACCACATTTGGGGAGGCACACGGGGAACCAGATTGGAGAATGGCTCCAGCTGGAAGCAGAACAAAATCACGTTGACTATTTTTCACAGCGTTTTCTTGCCTGAACTTACTTTCTGACTGCCAAAAAACCACACGTTTGTTCTGCCAAAGGGCACAAGGAAACAAGGACAAACGCAATATGGAAAGCAACATCTTCTTTCATTGCGGAAAGCAACATTTGTGGCAGCAGCGAGTCATGCCAGCATCAAGTCTTTCTGTACTGTGGGTTAACAAAGGTGAAGCACTGGCTTTTGCTCTCTCTGTCCTGCCAAGCCAGCTCTTTCTCCAGCTGTGAACTAACTTGTTTGCTGAATGATTCAGTCTTAGGAAACACTTTCTGTTATTTATTTTTTTGGGTAAGATGGTTTTGCAGAACTGAGTTAGACAATAGCACTACGCACGACTGAACTGGCAGATCCCAGGGAGCCTGAGAAAACAAGAGCCCATTCTAAACCAAACCTACTGCCAAAGTAACAGAACCAGTCCTGGAAAATGCCTCAGCTCAAAGGGGCCGATTATTCTCACAGAAAGTTCTCGTAAGGGGAAAAAAACCACCTCCATGTGCACATGTGGGCTTTTCATTTAGCTTTAGATTTCAGAAACACCGTTTCTTCAGGATTTTCTACCCTCCACTCCTTCCTCTTCCTGCTACCAATTCAACCTCCAAATACGAGCAGTGTGAGACACAGTCTGAAATTAAACAATTAATTTACTTCTAATTTAGTGTATTTTAATCACCAAAGGAACTAGTGTGTCAGCCACTGACAGTGGGCTGTAATTATGGCACCTTACTATGCAGATTTAGCTTGTTTGTTTACTGTTACTCATGAACCTGGATGTTCCTGGACAAGCTTTCTTTTGGCTTACAAAGAAAAAAACAGCCGTACAAAAAAGGTGACTGTTTCCTGCAAAAAAGAATAGTTACTACTACACCCAGACCTAAGTCTATAGCCCAGATGGGAGGTCATGACTCCTCTTCAGGCTCAATTTATGCTCCTCGGAGCCTCAGAAATGTTGTTACAGGCACCTAACAGAGCCAACTTCAGCCCCAAAGATTCCTACTCTGGTTACGTGGCGACACTCATTTAAACCCGAGTACTTTTTAAGTGCAACTCTTTCTATAAAGTGTTTGTGGGCATTCCTGGCCTCCAATCAAACATCCTAGGCACTAGGCAGCACTGGACACGTCCATTACGCTGTTTCAGAGATGTACACATTAGTTTTATTACCCTCTAAATGCCTGTCCATATGGCCACTTGGCAAACAAGAGATGCCCAACTATTCCTTCCATACTGTGTTACTCAGGTTTTTGGATACAGGACACAACGCTGCTCAGTTCAGCACCCTTTTGGGCTTTCCTTAGGCTGCCTAGCACTCAATTCTAGAAACGTGCTTGAATTAAGGAAGGAAGGAAAGAAAAATCATGTTAAGAATGGCTGCTCTGCACAATCTTTCCAGCCAGCAGTTCCAACACCAGCACCACTGCTGTTAAAGGCAAAATCCTACAGAACTGCTCAGAGGGCCTCGCAGACTTCCTAACTATGCTATGCGAGCTCTGCACAAGTCACCAACATGTGGACATGGAAAACCTGAGCACAAGGCTCCTGTTGCCACTGCTTGTCCTGTGGACTAACCCTATCATTAAACACAGACACGTGCACATTAAAAGATCCTTAGAAATGCAAAGCAGCGGCTAACACCTCACTCCCAACAAAGCACTACATACAGCAAGGGCAGTCTCATAGCAATCTGCCCTGAGGAGGAGAAGGAAATAGAATTATTCTTGTCCCTTCCCATGCTAAAGATAAGATCTACATCCTGAAATACACAAAAACAGCCCAACAAATAATTCCTGATATTCTGCTGTGCGTCAGCAGTGGCTGGCTATGCGCACATCCAGTCAAAAACCACTGAATGCCTTCTAAAGATCACAGAATCATTATGGTTCAAAAAGACCTCTCAGATCATCTTGTTCAACTGTCAGCCCATCCCCACCGTAACCACAACCCTCAGTGCCACATCTCCACGGTTCTTATTGAACACCTCTACGGATAGTGCCTCCACCATCTCCCTGTGCAGCCTGTGCCAATACCTCTCTAACCTTCCTGAGAAGAAAAGTTTCCTAAAACCCAACCTGAACCTCACAGGCACAACTTGAGGCAATCGCCTCTCATCTCATTGCTGTTATCTGAGAGAAGAGACCAACCCCACTTGTCACAGCCTCCTTTCAGGGAGTTGCAGGGAGCTGTAAGATCTCCCCTGAGCCTCCTCTTCTCCAGACTGTAAAATCCCAGTTCCCTCAGCAGCACCCTGTAAGACTGTAGCTCCAGACCACTCACAGTTTCACTGCCCTTCTCTGGATGCATTCCAGGACCTACATGCCTTTCCTGTAGTTCATGAACAGGCCAGAAAGTACTGACTGAAGGCACAACGACACCTGGCAACACGAGCTGTGGTGAGTAAAGACAGCAGCAGTTTCTCAGCACTTTCAGGTGGTTCAGTAAAGAACCAGGAGTTAGACCCAATGGTCTTTACAGTGCTCTTCCGACTTGGGACATTCAGTGATTGTTTTTGTGCCCAGTGACTTAGCAGAACTCAAAGCCAATACAGTAACAAACAGATACCCCCATCTAACCCACAAAACAGCAAAAGGCTCCATCAGCTCAACACGAGCCATCAGCAGAACCGTCCCAGGGTCGTACCGGCAGGTCCACGCTGACGTCGGTGCCATCCAGCAGAGCCACGCGGCAGGTGATGACCGACCTGGCATCTCCGGCTGCCGGGATGTGGGTCGCAGCCCTCTGGGCTTCACGCAGCCGCTCCCGCTCCGCGTGCCTGCGCATGGAGCGGCGCCCCAGCGTCCGGCGGAAGAAGCTCAGCATCTCGGCTGGGAAACGCGAGAAAAGGCTTAGGTTAGGTTGTCGAATTCAAACTGCTAAAACAGGGTCGGAAATAAAACGGCGCCAGGGATTGAAAATTCCTTGTTGGCTGTGGGAAGCTGGACTAGGTGACTCCGTAAAGGTCCCCTCAAGCGCTTCTAACGAAGCACCAACGGGGCGCCCGAGGAGCCGCGCACCCCGCCGCTCGGGGAGCTCAGGCTTCCAGCGACTGCCGGCGACTCCCGGAGGACGTGCAGCCGTGCAGGGCGCAGCCCGGCGCCGCGCAGCCCGCGGCTGACACCAGACGCCTTCTTAACGAGACGCGGCGCTGCCCTCCGAGCCAGCAGCCTGACCTCGGAGCTCGCAGCGGCGTCGTGCCCGCAGACCAAAGGGTTTTACACAGACTTTATCGCAGAAGCCTCCCCCCGGCCGGGCGGCCGGATGCTCGAGCTCCCACCCGCGGCCATAGCGCCCACCTCCGTACGAGGCCGCTCCCGGCGCTCACCCCGCGGCCCGGCGCCCGCCGCCTCCCCTCGGCGCCGGACCCCTCACCTGGCGGCGGCGTCGCGCCCGGGCCGCGCGGCACGGCGGCTGCACGGGGCGGGCCGGGAGCGGGGGGGCGGGCCCGGCAACATGGCGGAGGAACGCAGGAGGACCTCCGGCGGGAAGGCGCCCGCCGCGCCCGGCCGCGTTGCTCACTCACCTGCGGGCTGCCGGCGGCGGCTCCGGGCCGGGGAAGGGACGACGCGGCGACCGCGGCGGGAAGCGACGCGCGGAGGGGACGGACGAGGCCACCGCCCCTTGGCGGGGTGGAGCCGGGGCCGCCCCCGCCCCGAGCCGCCAGGTGGTAGCGGCCGGCGGGGCGCGGCGCTGCGGGGCGGCCCAAGAGGCGCCCGGGGAGGGCGAGAAAGGGGCCGGAAAGTGAAATTACTAAAGCACGTCTTTATTTTGCAATTAAACAATTAAGATCCACAAGTAAACTATATATATATTTTCAAGTCTGTACCCAGACAACTATTTGTCAACTGAAATTAAATATATCCACAAAATATGCATAACAACTTTTTTTTTTTTCTTCACATAATAAAATGAGATTTTACTTAAGAGTGAAACAAGACCTGTTACTGTTAACTCGCATATCGATGCTGGGAACTGCTGGTTTTTCGGTAGGACGTCACCGTGTCACTTAATGGCAAGGAATTTCATTTTATCAAACCGAGGACAAACGCCCAATGCCCTTAACGCACACAGCAGCTGCAGTGACAAAAGCTGAATCCTTTTCACTTCGTCCAGTGTTGACCCATTTCAAGTTTCTATCGTTTTCAATCTGTTGCAGCCAACGACTGGGCGTTTTAGCATCCCCCAGCCCACCACGGGCCTTCTATTCTGTCTATAGGCAGAAATCTGCTCAGGGGAACGGACCCTTCTGCCGTGCTAATGGGGCAGCAGGCAGCCTTACAGCTGAAGCTGTCCAGCTCCGCGGTGCCCTATTCACAGCCATCCCTCGTTGGGATGATGACACGGAGATGCTGAGAGCCACAGCTGAAGTGGAAGCTAATTAGCAGAAGGAACTAGCAAAAGATATTGCCACTATCTGATTGTTAATAGTGATCTAGGTCATATTCTTCCCTTTGGATTTACAGAGAGTATGTAGCACCTGTTACAGAAACAAAACAAACAAAGAAAAACAACCCAAACCTTACACAGAGAGCTCTGCCAAACTGACTGGTGAAAATGGGATCACTGGCAGATGACCCAAACCAAACAGACCAACTTCTGAGTACACCAGATGCAAGAAAAAACTGTTTTCTTACCTTACTTTTCCTGTGATGGGTTGTTACTGTGGTGCCCCAACGTACTGTGATCACTGCACTGGACAGTTTATGGTCTACTCTTTGTGGATATACTCTCCTTAGAGAAAACAGCTTAATGTAAACAGTTGAAAGCCTTTCGCTTTTGTCTCAGCTGCCCGGCTCAGGCAGAAGAGGATGACATCATCTTTAAATTTTGTTGTGCATTAATTTTGGTTATCAAAATCCAAAGTAAAACAAACAAACAAAAAGATTTCCAGGCAATTGCTCTAATGTTAAAAACAAGGCTTAGCAGAAACATCTACAGTAAACATAGCTAATCTGCAGCTGAGAGAGATCACAGAGCAGTGTACCAGTACCCTGTATTTCTATTTGCACTTTTTGGAAATGCAAGCTTTTATGTTCTTACAACAGGAAAATCGAAACCTTTAGTTGTTAATAATTTTCTGAAGAGCCCTCAAATATATGAACAATAATGCAGACACGGCTGGAGCAGCTGAAAGCATTTGTATCGGGGTGTAACCCAAATCATCTCTGCACAGAAACCCATTGCGCATCTCTCTCCAAACCCAATTTATTTTTCTCCGATAGTTCAGTCAGTAGTAAGCATGAGATAAAGTGCTACTATTCAAACATCAAAACACTTTGAGAAAAATCATCCTTTAAAACACGTGAGCTTGCTAAATATGAAATACCACCACCAGCAAACTGTCAGCCAGCCCATGAAACCAAACTTCATCTTACAGAATATAGGAATGATGGATATTTTAGTACATTTATTAGGCTACATCGCTTAGAGAAAACAAAGAGGATGTAGTTTTTATTGAAAAAGGTGCGTTTTTTTCTCCTGAAATTCTTACCAACTGAGCTCTCAATGAGCAAATGATGCTCAGGTTATGCACTGCTGCAGTTTGTAGCTGGAGAAGCTCAACAAACTGAAGATGCACACTTGTGGTAGCAGCTAGCACAGAGCTGGAGTGCAGCAGTGATAGAGATAAATGAGATTGGACAAAACATTGCATTAAGAAAAAAAGGACTCTTTTCTCCTTGTAACAGCTTCCCCAATCACCACTAATTACAATCCGTGCAATTTCATGCAAGATCTACATTTAATCAATGAACATCTTTTTATCAGAATTTGATATTTGACCCCAGCACTGAAGGTAGCAATGGAAAACAGCTTTTCCAATCTCAAGATAAAAGGTGGGTTCTAAAATTAGCAAACACACCTAGCCTGCTGGGGACTTGCACAGTACAAGATGACCGCAAATGCCATAAGAAGGCACCATTCCTGTCCTGTGTGAAAATCCTAATAAATAAATCTTGAATTTGGACAATACTCCAATTCCTCCCTTTATCCTCAGGGCTGAGGGTCCTTCAGATGGCCTGCAGTAACAGCTCTACAGTCACAACTATACTGTAAGTATGGGACAACCTGCTTTTGCGTGGAGATTTGTGGATGGTGCATCTGTAGAGTATTTTTCACGCTCGTACTAATTCCCTGAGCCACCACCCATTGCCCACACACCTACACAAACAAAGATATCACATAGTTCAGCTCCACAGCACGCCTGGAGGTCTGGCATCACTATGCAGGACCTTCTCTACTTCCCATCTCCCTGGGCAGTACTGCTGGGTCTTGGCCTCCATGGGTACCACAGAGCTTTTCAGAAGCTCTCCAAGGAAAGCTGCCAGGTTCCACAACAAACTCCTCACATACCTTCATCTCCCTACTGCTTTCTCACCCCTTCTCTCTCGGGTGGTGCACCAGGACACAATCAGTTATTCTAGATATATTTTACCTATATGAGATGTAAGCTTTCAAGATTTAACAGAGAAATGCAGAAGAACCTTTAGTTAGCATTAAATGTGGTGTAATAAAACCAGACTGTTATTCAGAAGTAGGAGAGAATAGCTAAAAACAGAAAAACAGTGACTTACTGATTCAGATGTGCACACTGTCACCAAATGCTTTCAAATTCAGGATAAATTTTCAGCATTCTGGTATATCTAAAGCAGCATTTCTCAGAAGGAATTGGCTGACAATCTGTCGGTGATTTACCTGCATGTTATTTCATATTTAGCAAAAGTTAAAAATGCCCCCCAAAACACGCAAAGCCTTCTCAAGAACCTCATATTTTTCTGCTAACAGAAAAACCTTCACATCCACTTTAAACAAGAGATGGTTGTGGTAGTTTTGAATTTGAACTGAAAAGGAAAAAGTCTCGATGTTGTACATTGGCAAAAACTCTCATAATATTGCTCTTATTTACAATGGAAACTTCATTATTTCTTTTTTTTTTTAAGCTGGACCTGTATATCATGGAAGCATTACAAACATACTCTTTCTCCACCCACCCAGTATTTTTTCCTAATCAATTGGTATGAAAATAATTGTTCATCAAGTCCAACAGTCGTAACACCAATCACATCCAGTTCATTTTGTCTGAAAGATACATTCATGTTTTGTACAGCATGAAACATACAAAAACTTCTTCAGAAAGTCTGAATGATGATACAGATCTTCATAACCCAAAGTTAAATATTTAGCTTTTTTTTTTTTTGGCCATATAAAAATATTGTGAAGGCCATTTATACCACAACAAGTACAAACATCTGAGTGAGTGATTTCTGGTGCAGGAAGGCTTCAGCCTTCTCTTTCCCAAGCAGCTTTTGGTTCCCATTCTACTGGCTTTCCAGAAGCCAAAAAGCCATTGATTAACTGATGATCAATTAGCTGAGTTTGCTTTTTTTTTGTTTTGTTTTCTTTTTCCAGTGCAGCTAGTTAATACACAACAGCAGATCAGCTTAAGTCAATGCAGAGGAAGATCGTAAGTTTGTATTCTTGCCTGTATTTGTAATCAGAACAGTAACAACAGTCGACCACGTGTAATTGTGGTATAAATGGGTATTTTGAACTCAAACTGCTTTGGCAGCTTCACATAACAATAATTAAATATGTGACATACCAACACTATTCACGCTGCTATAAACTTAGTTTCTCATTCCCCTCAGGAAAAAATGGGGCAAATGATACTTTTCTTTACAATTTGTGAAAAAAGTGTACTTCAATATAATGGATGAATTATTTTACATTTTAGATATTAAGTGCTGACTTTAAAATAAGCTTCCAGTTAGCTGGCATCTCAGCTAATAATCTCACCATACGAAAGTTAAAGCTTTAAATTTAATACAGAAGATTTTGTTGTTGTTGTTGCAAATGGCTTAAAATGAAACTGAGATTAAAGCTACTTTATCACTCTTTTCCCATTTATCAGATCCAGAGATACTTGGAAGATTCATTTTTCACTGAGGAAAAACATTGATTTAGGCATCAAATCTAGAAATATAAGTAACAGGGCCACAGGCCACCTAGTATTATTTTGTATTCTAAAAATAATTAAAACTATATTTTCCATTTGGCATTGTGGTTCATGTGTAATTACTAAGTTGTAAGCCAGGATTTCACTTAGCCTGAATCCCTTTTCACTTAATATTTCATAGCTGATCTCATTCAGATGTCCACAGAACACCGTATATTATATAATTATTCAATAGTTTAAAACTTTAGTGTAGAAATTTCCATTCCAGCTCTATGCTTTATATAGCTTATAACAAAAATTACTGGATAGACATTTTCAGGAAACCAATAAATTAAGGTTTTTAAATAGAGGACACAGAGTTACGTTGTTGCAGGGCAGTCAAAGAAGTGACTGATTTTGTTTTCTTACAGTATATTACACCGGACACCTTGCTTCTGACTTGGGTTTCTCCTGTATTGGAAAAACATTAAAAACTGGGACCTATGTCTTTAAAGTGAGCTCAGATACTGTATCAGACATTTGTTACAAATCTTATACCTACTTAAATAAGAGGCAACCCATACCAACTGGAACAACTTTGCACAAGCATGACAGAGGGTGACTGGGACCATCACGGAATTAAAGGA